CACACCGACCTGGTGCACAGACACACACACACACACACACACACACATATGCAGGCAGAACACCCAAACACACCGGGAAAAACAAGCCTTAAAAGAACGCTCCAACTGAAGCGGTTCAGGCAGAAGAGGTTAGGTCGGCTCTTGGCTCACAGTCACAGCTCACTGTGGCGGGGAAGCAACCGTGGCAGGTGCCGGGCACAGCAGGGCACATGAATCCACAGTCAAGAGGCAGAGTGTGGGGAACGCCTTTGCTCTCTCAGCTCCTGTCCTCCTTGGTGGCACTGTGGGTGCCCCCTCCTGCCTCAGTTAACCCAACGGAGCTAACCCATCACGGGCTTGCCCAGAGACCCGGCTCTTCTGTGACCCTAGATCCTGTCAAGCTGACGACATGAAGAGGTGCCGCAGGGGGCCTGTGCCCAGGCTTCACAGCTGCTGCCAGAGCCTCTGGCTCTCCTGCCTCTCCAGCGGCTTGCACTGCTGAGCCTCTGCGTAGGGAGCTCTGTTTCCCAGGGAAGACAGGCTCTTGGCCATCCAAGCGTGAGATCACAGTGGGCCTGGTGGGCAAGCAGTGGGCACAGCAGGCTTCTGAAGAGGGAGGGGCTTTCTAGCAGCAATGCTCATGGTGTTGGAAAATCAGAGACAAGTCTGGGCATGGTAGCCCACGCCTTTAATCCCAGCGCCTGGGAGGCAGAGGCAGGCCTGGCCTCCTCTTAATCATGGCTGATTCTCCAGCCCCAGCTGACCAGCATCCATTGTCCTAGCAGACAAAGGTTTCACATGAGTGATTCTGGTCTCCTGCTAATCACAGCCAAGCCCCAGCTGACCAGAACCACAGATTTTTAACTCAGAATGTCGAATGGCCCCAGTATAATCTTTAAGGGACTCCCAAGCTTCCCCTGTGAAAGTTCACAAGCCAGCCTTCCACCTCTGCATTTCTCTCCATTCTGAGCACCCACAGGAGCTCATCAAGCTCTCACACTCAGTGGCTTTTCCAGCCAAAGCTCCAGAGTCCTCCAGACTGCTAAAAACACACGGTCGGGTCTGGCACCCCGCAGCTCGTACCAGTGTTGTATTGCTTCAATACAACACCATGACCAAAAGTATCTTGGGAAGGACAGGATTTATTTCAGACTGTAGTTGCCCATCAGGAAGGGAAGTCAGGGCAAGGACTGAAGACGGAACCGAGAGGAAGGAGCTGAAGCCAAGGCCATGGGGACACAACTTACTGGTTTGCATGGGTTGCTCAGTCTGCTTATATGGAGCCTGGGGCCACCTGGGCAGGGCTGGCGCACCCTCAGAGGCCCGGCCTCCCACAGGGCTCACTCGGCTCACTCGTGAAGAAAATGTCCCTTAGGCTTTGGTCCACGGGCCAGTCTTATGGAGGCATTTTCTCAACTGTGGATCCTTCTCAGATAACTCGGGTGTCAAGTGGACAAAAGGAAAACTAAGAAAAAGAGGAAGGAGGGAAGGAAGGAGGGAAGGAAGGAAGGAAGGAAGGAAGGAAGGAAGGAAGGAAGGAAGGAAGGAAGAGAAAGACCAACCAGGACATTACCTCTTCATAGAAGTCAGGAGGCCTATGTCCTTAAATGCTATATATATAATTTAATTATATGTACACGTATATGTGTGTGTGTGTGTGTGTGTGTGTGTGTGTGTGTGTGCCTGCCTGTGGGGGAGGTATGTGCATGTGAGTTCAGGTGCCCTGGGAAGCCAGAGCCCCCTGGAGACGGAGTTACAGATGGTCTGAGCAACATCTGATGTGGCTGTTGGAAATGCGGTTCTCCAGAAGCGAGAACACGCTCTTCAACACGGAGCTCTCTCCAGCCCCCACTCTGTGTTCTCCCTGCTCACCTCCTACGTTTGCCCTGGTCTCGTTCTTATTTCCCTTCTGTGTATAAGTGTCCTGCCTGCACATATGTCTGGATACCAGGCGCACGCATGGGAGGTCACGCACGCATGCCCTGGGAGGTCAGAAGATCCTCAGGAACTGGAGTTCCAGTGGCTGTGAGGCTCCTTGTGGGCGCTGGGAATCAGAGCCGGGTCCTCTGCAAGAGCATCGAGAATCCCTAACCACTGCGGATCTCCAGGGCCCCTGGCACGCTCACTCCTAAGGCCGCTTCCGTCATCTCTAAATTCTGAACTCTGGCTGGCTCCCTTCGTTGTCCTGCTGTGGGATGCCGCTGTCCTCCCTGACTGGAGAGCTGTCACTGCCCACACGCTAGTCACGGCCGCATCTCTGCACGCGATCCCAGGGCAGTGCGCTGCCATCAGCCACAGCGCTCCCCAAGGCCCCGTGGACTCCGGGAGACTCTCCTGCAGTTGACTGGGGAACAGAAAGACCCTGAGGTCAGCAACCTGTGCACGCCTGTCCACACGGGATAAAGTTTCCCATGAGTTGGACTGTTTGAGCAGATTAACGGGCTCTTGTTACACACACAAAAGGGCTGTGTCTGAAGGACACTGCTCTGACTTCTGTCCTTTTCCCCCGGTGCCCCACAGCGGCCCTGCAACCCTGAGCATACGGGTATCTGACACTTGTGGAAGAGACCTTGTGCCTGGTGGGGGCTTTTTTATCCCCCAACAAGTCAGAACCGGAGCCCGGACTTCACCCCTAACTGTTCGGTCTTCTTGGAGTTTAATTTTTTTTATTTTTTTAGTTGAAAAGCGAGACTATTATTGTGCTTTATATTTTCATATTTTATGTACATGAGTGTCTCACCTACATGTATGTAAGTGCACCTGTACATACCTGGTACTCATGAGGGCCGGAAAAGGGCCTTGGATTCCCTAGAACCGGAGTTGAGGATGGCTGTGAGCCGCGACGTAGGCGCTGGAAACCAACCCGTGTCCTCCGCAAGAGCAGCAAGTGCTTTTAGCTGAGGAGCCATCTCTCTAACACCCTCACTTTGGCTTTTTCAGTAAGATCTTATTTTTACTTATGTGCGTGTGAATATGTTTCTGTATGGATACGGGCATGAGAGCGTAATACCACAGAGGCAAGAAGAGGGCCGGAGGTCATGTTACAGACAGTTGTGAGCTGCCTGAAGCGGCTTCTGGGAACCAAATTGAAGTCCCTGCCAGGGTAGCAAGGGCCCCTAACCACTGCGCCATCTCTGCGGCGCCAGAAAATGGTAGCTATTGCACTGAGCGAAAAGGAACCATTAGAGTCAGGGAAGGCCATGCAGGGTGTCCCACAAAAACAGCAGCCAAAGCAAGGCCCCTCAGGCCTGGTGTGCAGGCTGGCGCGGCTGAAAGGAAGTGAGCAGGGGAGGGGACCTGTGGAAACAGTGGCGGGTGAGTGTGCCCTCTCTTGAGCCATGCAAGATGTGAGAGCGCCGGTAGCATCGTTTTCCGTTTTACATCTGTCTGTCTGTCTGTCTATCTATCATCTAACTGTCTGTCCGTCTAGCTATCTATGTGGGTTTTTTTTGAGACAGGGTTTCTCTGTGTAGCCCTGGCCATCTTGGAACTCCATCTGCAGACCAGGTTGAACTCGGACTTAGAGACCCGCCCGCCTCTGCCTTCCTGAGCGCTGGGATCACAGGCATGCGCCACCGTACATTATTTTTAATGTATGGATTTGATGTATTTCTTTTAAATGTATGAGCAGCTCTTTTTGTCTATCTGATGCTGATAACCAAACCCGGGCCCTCTGCATATCAGGCAGGACTCCTCCCTCTCCCGTGTTCACCACGGTTTTCTCTCTCTTCTTAAAAAGGATTTTGTTTAGCCAAGTGTGACGTTGGCTGAGGCAGGTGGGTCTCTGTGAGTTTGAGGACAGCAGGCCTATTGAGTTCTAAGCCAACCAGGGCTAGATACAGAAACTGTGTCTCAAAAAAAAAAATTTTTTTTAAAGTGTGTGTGCGTGTGCAAGCATGTGTGGAGGTCAGAGGTCAACTTTTGGGCACGTTTATCTTGGTCTGAATCCTGCCTCTGCCTCTCATCCCTCTGTGGAAGTTCTGGGGGTCACAGAGCGCGGTGCTGTCACTGTCTGAACCATCCCCCTGGCCCCACCTGCCCCAGCACCTGGCAGCACCTCTCCCCCTCCTGCCTGTGAGTTTGAGCACTCTAGGCACCCATAAAGGTGAAACCATGTAGCAGCTGTCTTTGGAGACAGGCTGCTTTCACTGCCACACTGCCTTCAGGATCTGTGTGTGGACCAGGTCGGGATTCCGTGTCTTTCCAGGCCGAGTAGCATTCCCTGGTGTAGACACACTTCGTTTTGCTTACGCGTCCATCTGCTGGTGGACATTCAGGTCTCAGCGGTGGCTCTTATGAATAACCCTGCTATGAGCAGGTATATGATTATCTGTTTCAGTCCCTGTTTTGAATTCTTTTTGAGCTGTACCCAGAAGTGAAATTGTTAGATTATGTTATAATTATGGGGTGGGTTTTCTTTTTCTTTATTGCTGTTTGGTTGCATTTTTCAAGTGCTGGGAACCAAACCTAGGGCTTTGCACTCGCGAGGTGAATGTTCTGGGACTAAGCTAGATAGACCCTTCAGCCTGTTTTTTGCTTCTTGTTTGTGATTGTTTATGGGTTTTCGAGACAGGGTTTCTCTGTGTAGCCCTGGCTGTCCCGGGCTCACTCTGTAGACCAGGCTGGCCTTGAACTTCAAGATCCCTGCCTGCCTCTGCTTGGATTAAAGTGTGCGCTGCCACCGCCAGGCACAGAAAGTGCTGTTTAAGGTGGCGTCCATATCTTGCACGACGTGAAGCAGAGGCTGTGGCAGCTGCCTTCAGCTGGGGTGACAGGAGGAGAGGGTTAGGAACCAATTCAGCAGGGGAAGGGCAGGCAGGATCCATTTGGCTTCAGGGCGGAGCAGTTAGAGGGATGCCGCTGCCAAGGCCACACGGAGAAACTGGGTGGAGACTTAGACTGGGGTCCAGAGTTCTCTTCCGGTTCCCATTAGACCAGGTTTCTGTCAGACATCCCAGTGAAGACCGAGAGGCTGGGAGGGGGCCCCACACTGTGACTTAGAGAAAGCCCTGTGAAGGGTGTGGGGGGTCGGGTGGTAGTGGTGGGCTGCGGAACCTAAGTCACGGGCTGCCGGCTGAGGCACGTAGACCCCACGCCTCCCGCCTGCCTCCTTGCTCAGCTGTGCTAGGTTCTGCCCCGGGACCCGTTTCCAGCAGAGCAGGACAGACAGACGGCTGCGAGGCCCAGAACCGGCCTCCTCAGCCCAACCCAGCCCCGATGCTGGAAGGAAGGCGTGGGAGAACTGAGGAGCCCTGGAAGTCACAGCTCAAGGCTCCTCACCGTCTTACCACACAGCCCACTTCCTGTGATGCTGCCCGCGGGTTATCTCTGTTTCCTGTGAGTACAGCTGAGAGGGGGTGGGGGTCTCTGGAGGATCCAGCCTGTCAGCAGCACCAGGCCAGCTCATGGCTCAAGTGTCGTGTGATGGCAGACCCCACCCCACCCCGCAAAGGCCAGTGTCCAGCCTCTGGACAGTGCGCTGTGCTTGCTCAGTCACCGCTGGGTGGAAGTCACCATGTGAGGCTAAATGGAGCAGCCGGATCCTGGCAGCAGAGAAGGGGCCTGTTTCTGGAGCAAGACAGGCCCGACTCAGGTGACCGCCCGGAGCTTTCACTCACAAGGCCAAGGGTCAGGGTTACTTGCCTACCAGGAGGGCTGGAGGAGAAAACCCAGAAGAGCTCAAGTTTCACATGATACCCGGTGTCCCTGGGGCTCTGCTCTCCCAGGCCGGGACCAAAGAGCAGCTGTCAACAGGGGGAGACACAAGACCATACACAGCTAGGGGGCCAAGAGACATGCCCACCCGGGAAAGCCACACTTGTTAAGTCGGTCTTCTACTGCCCAGGGTCCTGTCAGCACCCTCATGTTTACTGGGGAAGCCTGGACTCCATGTCTGTTAACCCTGGGGCAGGGGTGTCCTGTTCCAGAGCCTCAGAATGGAAGTGAGCATGAAAGCCTGCAGTAGTGCCTGGCACGTAGTAGGTGTCCAAGTATTTGGGGTGTGTGTTTGTGTGTGTGTGTGGTTAGTGACAACTCACTAAATTGCTTCAGGACCTGTGATTTGCAGAGTGCTGTACACGGAGCAAAGCCCAATTGTGAGCCCACAGCTGGAGGGGAGAGGGGACACACACAATTGTCACTGCCATCGTCCACTGCTAAAACTACACACGACCTCACTTTGCAGTTGAGAGCAGGAGAGGGCTGGAGAGACGGCTCAGGAGTCAAGAGTGCACGCTGCTCCTTCAGAGGGCCCGAGACTGGCACCCTGTGGCCAGAAAGAGTGTCTTCTGGCTTCCCCACAAAGGGGGGGGGGGGAAGCGCTGAGGTTTGCGCTGCGCAAGGAGCAGAGAGGGGGCAGCAGGGCTTCCTCGGGGGAGAGACGCTGCGCCAGGCAGTTTGTGGCCACAGCTCCCATGCTCCCGGCTCTGCATGGGTCCCTAATGCTGTGCAAGCCCCTGGCACTTGGTGCAAAGCTCTAAATGAGTGTGTGTGTGTGCGTGTGTGTATGTGTGTGTGTGTGTGTGTGTGTGTGTGTGACATATATCTTACATGTCTATACATTGTTCTTTTATGAAAAGCATATCTTCTTCCTGGGCACTTGAGAGGGGAGGTGGAGGCAGGATGGCCAAGAGTTCAAGGCTAGCCTGGGCCACATTTGACTGTGTCTCTAAAACAGAAAATTGTTCTCTGTCGGTGTTACAGTGCTGGAGAGGAAGGCGCCCTGCCACTGCGCTGTACCCGCAGCCCTTTTAATATGTTAAGTGTGCTTGGAGGAAGTAAGAAATTAGGTTCCAGCGGGGCTCAGCTTAATGGTGGATCACTTGTCCGGCACTCACAAGGCCCTGGGTTCAATCCCCATCCCCTCAGTGGGGAGGTGGCCATGGGCACAGGACGCTGCTGGCACAGCTGTCCTCACAGCGTCCGGAAACAGGCGTGTGTGGGAGGGTTGACGTTCGGACCTGCTGGAGCCGGGGGCCGGGGTGGGGGGAGGACTCGCACTTGGTGCCCACGGGGGGAGGGGGTTAGTGAGTTGCTGGCGACCACGGCCTCGTCCCTTGCAGAACACCTGAAGGAGAGGCTGGAGCGGCACGTGCAGCAGCTGCAGATCGTGCGCGTGGTGCGGCAGCGCGAGCGGAAGGGGCTCATCACGGCGCGGCTGCTGGGTGCCAGCGTGGCGCGGGCCGAGGTGCTCACGTTCCTGGACGCACACTGTGAGTGGGTAGGGCACTGATGGGCGGGCTGAGAGCATCCTGTCCTTCTGTGGGGGGAGAGAGGCCTGGGGCTGAGCCAGCCAGCCCTCACGCTCCAGGCTGAGGCCTTGGTGACTGAGAAGAGCCGGCAGTGCGAGGGATCACCACTTACCCTCGTGTGCACCCTGAGGAGAAGCCCCATCTCCACCAGAAACGCCTTTTCTATAGGGCTAGGTGGAGTTCACAAGCCCCCTGCCACACACACACACACACACACACACACACACACACACACTCTGAAACCAAAACACCTCCGTGCACGGATTTTTTCTGGAAGAACGATAGAAAGCAGAGAACTCTAGACTTGTCTCAGGAACCCCGGCTTCCTTCTTACTCGGCCATTAGCAGAACTTCACTTTCCTTGCTCAGCTAACAAAGTGTCATCCAAGTAAAATAGGAGCTCAACAGCTGGCTTGGAGGTTAGGGACATTTGTTCTTGCAGAGGACCAGGGTTTGGCTCCCAGGACACCCATGATGGCTCCCAACTGCCCAGAGCGCCTGTTCTAGGGTGACCCCTGCAGACACAAGGCACACGTGTGACACACAGACACACAAGCAGGCAAAGCAGAAAATCGCCTAGAACAATGAAGGAACGCAAAACCTATGTCCGTTCTAAGTCCAGAGCTGTCTAGGCATGCTGACCGGCGCCTGCTATCTCAGCATTTGGTAGTAGAGGCAGGAGGATAACTGCAAGTCTGAGGCCGCCCTGCTCAGCACAGCGAGTTCTAGCCAGCAGGGGTTATTTAACAAAGCTCTCAGAAGGAAGAGGAAAGATCCCCCACGGCTGGCTGGCAGGAGTGAGGGGGAGAGTCGTTTCACACTAAGAAAGCTGGGTCATGGCAGTTTGCATCTGACTGGTGATGACCAGGCTGTTCCCCAAGGCCTGCCACCCCCACCTCTCAGGAGCTGCTCTGTGCCCCCTACAGCTGTGGGCGTGTGTGGGTGCCCCCAGTCCTCCTGGGCCTCCTCAGTTGAGGCTTCAGCCATGGCGAGGCCCCTGAGCTTTCCCTTCCGGCCTGGTCTGCAGGCGAGTGCTTCCACGGCTGGCTGGAGCCCCTCCTGGCTCGCATCGCCGAGGATAAGACAGTGGTAGTGAGCCCCGACATTGTCACCATCGACCTCAACACCTTCCAGTTCTCCAGACCCGTGCAGAGAGGCAAAGTCCACAGCCGTGGCAACTTCGACTGGAGCCTGACCTTCGGCTGGGAGACGCTCCCCGAACACGAGAAGCAGAGGCGCAAGGATGAGACGTACCCCATCAAGTAAGGACTGGATCCTGGTGAGCCCCCACCGGCCCCACCCACCCAGCCCAGGGCCCTGTACCACCCCACACGAGCACTGCTCCGGTCCTCCCGCTAGCCTGTTTTCACAAGTGAGAATGCGGACACCCGCGGCAGTGGCCAGCTTACCTCAGATCCTGCAGCTAGCACAGGGTAGACCAGGGCCCGTCCTTGCGGGACGAAGCCAGCTGTGGCGTGGACTGCCCCGCCTCACACCATCACACCTTGCTCACCTACCTGGAGAAAGCCAGGACCTCTGCTTGCAGAGTGGGAGAGAGATGCCAGGGGGTGGGGGACGGCGGAGGGGGAGGTCATTGCTGAATAACCTTTGTCATGGGTAGCCATGGGCTCCCAGGTTACTCACTATCTCTGAAAAGACTCAGAAAAAGAAAATAGATGCTGGGCCTGGCCATACAGGCTTGTAATCTGTCTTAGTTAGGGTTTCTATTGCTATGATGAAACACCATGACCAAAAGCAAATTGGGGAGGAAACAGTTTATTTGGCTTACACTTTGACATCATTGTTCATGATTGAAGGAAGTCAGGACAGGAACTGTAACAGAGCAGGAACCCGGAGGCAGGAGCTGATGCAAAGGCCATGGAGGTTGCTGCCTACTGGCTTGCTCATCATGGCTTGCTCAGCCTGCTTACAGACCCCAGGACACCAGCCCAGGGATGGCACTACCCACAATGCTTTGGACCCTACCTCATCAATCACTAATTATGAAAATGCCCTACAGGCTGCCTACAGCCTGATCTCATGGAAGCATTTTCTCAAATGAGGCTCTGTCCTCTCAGATGACTTTACCTATGTCAAGCTAAAATTATCTAGCACATAACTAGCTCTGGGCTGAGACAAGAGGATCACAAAGTCAACGACTGTTGGGCTACCGTGGGTTCAAATAAACACTTGCCCAGCATGTGCAAAGCCGTAGATTCAGCCTGGGCAGGGGTGAGGGAGAAGGAACAGATACAGGCTTGTTACACAGTTGCTCTGTGCTTTTCATGAAAGGGCCACATGGTAATGCAGAAGGGGTTTTCTGTAACCCGTGTTCTTTACCCACGTCCCTGTCCCCAGATATAACAACTCTTAGACTTAAATATATTTACAAAAGCCCAGGACAATATAGCTAGGCATGATCCCTGACTTGCTCATAACTAATACCCCGTAAGTAAGGACTGAACCCTTTCTAAGCTCTACCACGTGGCTGGCTACCTCTGCTCAGGTTTCATGTGTCTGTTGTGCTCAGTGTCCTAGGGCAAATTCTGGCACTTCATTCTCTCTCAGCATCGTAACAGTCTTCTGTGATGTAATCCCTCATGTTGTGGTGACTCCCAACTGTAAAATCGTTTTGTTGCTAACTTCATAACTGCAATACTGTTACTGTTAGGAATCATAACGTAAATATCCAATATGCAGGGTATTTGGTATGTGACCACCAAAGGGGTCTCTGTTATAACATATGTATTAATAATCTACCTCAAAATATTTGGTATGAAAGGCAGTTATTGTGGGAAGGAAGGAGGGGGGAGAGAGAGAGAGGAGGGTGCCCTTGACAGAGAGACAGAGACAGTGAGAGGGAGAGAAACTGAGAGCATGAGAGTGTAAGAGAAAGAGGGGCAAGAGGGCGAGGGCTGGTGGGCAGGTCCTCTTTGTCCGGCACACACCTGGCGCACACCTGGCTCGTCGGGCGATGACATCAGAGGTTGTTAGGCAGCCTAGCAGCAGGCTATTGGAATAACATTCCTCCCCTTTCGTTTAATATAAAAAAATGAGGAACTAGGAAGGAGTGGGGAACTGGGAGTGAGGGCATCATGTTCAGAATCACTGCTTCCTGCTGACCCAGGGCGATGCCATCTTTGGGGACCCTAAGAGAATGGGGGAGGGGGAGGGCTGGAGACGTCCTGGCCGAGCCGCTGTTTTACTGCTGTCCAGAGTCTGAGAACACCTGCGGCTAGAAGGGAAGTGCAGCCCAGCTGACGCAGGGTGCGAGGCTAGCCTAGAGCACCTGTGGTAGCTGCTTCAGTGCTGTTGTGACATAGAAACACCTGGGCCTGATGGGCCAATGGAACACACACGGGGCAGAAAGAAGACAAAGTTAAGGAGGCTAGAGAGAAAAAAATAAATTTTTTTAAGTACACATTTGAAACTTTTGGATCCCATGGTTTTAGTAGTTATAGGAGGTGGGGTTCCAAAACTAGAGAAAGGGGAGCAATCCCACCCTCTGAGATAGGCCACAGGTGGGGAACTTGGACTCTTGATTGACAGTACTCATCCGGAGTTTGTCTGACCTAAGAGGTGGATCGGGGGGATTTCCTGTAGCTTACAAGAACCTTTTTAGGTTTACAAAGAAGATAAGTTTTAGACACGTTAGCGTCACCCTTGTCTGTAACCCGCAGTGAAATACACACCGTAGGGAAAGGAAGCGGACACACACGTTTGTGTTACAGCATCGCAGAGGCTTGGGAAATATCTCCCTGAACTCACTCGGCAGAAGCCTTCCGTGAAGGAGAAGGAGCAAAACCTCACTTGGTCTTGATTTTTGACACATCATGAGAGAGGGACTTCTCCCCTCTCTCCAGAAGACTGAATGTATGTAAATCCAGCACAATGAGAAACATTTTCAAGTCTATACTTAAAGGCAAACCAAAGGAAATTTAAGACTTTGAGCTTGGAACCATGATAGTGGATTGTATAGTGGAATTTTTTTTTTAAACCAGAGTTAAAGTCAGAGCTCCAGTGATTAATGTCAAATCTCTGAACAGTTTTAAGACTGTGTCTAGATATAGGTTCTCTAGGAAGACTGAGGAGGCATGAGCCTGTTTATCTTTAACATGAGGTCTGTGAGCAAGGCAAACCTGTTCCCCTGTCAAATAAGAGATCTAGAAGTCAGTAGTATCAACTAGCGAGTGAATTGACCAATGAGCTAATATAGTGGATTACTGTGGGATAAGGACCTAATTGTCTGTTCTCCAGTGTCAAGCTTCCATTAGCTTAGCCACCAATGTGATCAGACCTGAGAAGGATAAATTATAACCTAAATGAATCTGTGTGCCAATCAAAATGACAGAGATGACCAGGCAGTCCACAGTCCACTACCTGGACAGTTGTCCCAGGGTCCTGGGGTCTCCATGTCAGCACAGGCAGAGGCACTCTGGCCTGGCCATCAGGCACAGAAGATGAGAGGCTTTTTCTTTGGAGGAACAGCATGGGGGAGACTGATCTCGCCTCGTTTTGAGCAATATGAGGCAATGACTCTCCGGGTGTCCAGTTTGTCCACGGTTCAGGCCAGGCCCTAGCAGCAGGCTATGCATTGGGGCAGTCTTCCCAGTGGTTAGTGTACCACAAACCAGGGTTGAAGTCATCTGCCTTTGTGCCCAAATCTTCTCAGAGACCTGTGGAGTTACTGTTAGGATTTGAGAGTCTCTGTTTGTCATAATAAGTTTAAACATGTTAAATGCCACATTCAGCAGGTCTCTGACAGTTTTGAGGGCTAGCATATTTGAGTTAAGCAATCTGTCTGTCTTTAAACTATACCTTAACTATATCTGCTCTAAACTATACCTTGCAAGCATAAAACAGAGTGTTATGATCTGTAATTATGCAGTGTTTGAGGGCCACGTCCATCTCAAGGAGATGTATATAGACAAACTTTGTTTCTAGTCACTTTCTGTTCAGCTATGAAAACGTGTGCAGGAGGCTAAGAAAAGCTTAATCCTGCCATCAAGCACGTTGTTTCTTAGCATGACTGCAAGCGTATTTCTGCACACCTTACAGGATTTGGTCATTTTAAGATGACTGGCTGCTGACTTGCATTTCTTGATCATTAAAGGCTTGGGCTTTAGGTTCCATCCCTGTTACAATGGAGCCTTAAAATTCATACCCATAGTCTGTAAAGAGACTGGGAACTCTTGGACCTTTTTATGGTTGGCAGGATAGAGCACAACAGCTTCCTGTACGATTTGGCTCATAAAAAGTCTAGAGCTTACAAAAATCTAAAGCCATGTTATAGATTAGTAACATTAGCAAAAACGTATTTTTGAGGTAGTGATTTTTAACCTCTTAAGAGTGAAGATAGAGCATAATAACCAAGTTTTAACACTGTAAACAACGGAATGTCTCTAGAATTAATAAATCCCAACTTAAAAGTATCTCTGGAACCTTCACATGGTTTAGATTCTCTAAGCACAAGCTTTTAACTACTGACCCTGAGTTATGAGTTCAATCATATCCTGGTTTTGACCCTGAACTTTAAAGCATGCCTGGGTCTGAGAAGGGGTGAACAACAACCCTTTTCTAGAGTCAGCAGTACAGTAGAACAGTTTAAAACAACCTTAAAATTACATTTGAATTTACTATACCAAATCCATTGGCCAGAAGGCCTGGAGGTGAACCCTGAGCACAGGCAGCTGGCGGCCAGAGAAAGAAACAGCGCTCATTCGTGCATCCAAGAACGAGCAAATGCATGAGTAGTTAGACACACATCTATATTAGCTTGTCCATCTGAGCAGACCTTTATAACCTTGAAAGATCGCCATCATCTAAAGAACAGGATTGAAACCAGGATTGAGCCACAGATACAGAATGTTGTAAAAAGTGTAAGTTTGAACTTCTATAAAAATCCATACCAATTTAAAACGAGATTTGTTGTTAACTTCATTAAAAAAAAAAAAGGTAAAATAGTAACTAGCTCGTTCGTTCATTAGGACTAAGAGGCTTTATAGCTGTTTCCTTACGCCATGTGGTCATCTTAAGACGGTGGGGCCACGTGGCAGGTGGCAGGCCACGTGGTCAGCACGGTTGCTGTGTTTCTATAGATGTTACAAACACATATGCACACGTATGTATGTTCTAAACAAGAGGTTTTTGAACTTAAAATTTAAACATCAGGGCTGGAGAGATGGCTCAGAGGTTAAGAGCACTGGCTGTTCTTCCAAAGATCCTGAGTTCAATTCCCAGCAGCCACATGGTGGCTCAGAGCCATCTATAATGAGATCGGGTGCCCTCTGCTGGCCTGCAGGCAGAACACTGTATATGTAATAAAAAAAATAAAAATAAACATCATACCCAATGAGCAAATCACATAAATCCTTAGATAAGAGTTTATAGCATAATCTTGAGTTATATTTTTCTTAGAGAGCAGAGTATAAAGAAACCAGAGGGGAAAGATTTTTAAGAGATAAGAGAGATAACGAGGCAGTATAAGCCAGTCAAGCAGGTGGTCCCACGCTTGCCAGGAACCGAGGGCAGACATCTGAGTGCCAATTTCACCTGGTACCAGGATTTCGGAGCCTGAGAAAGAGGGGGAAACACACAGTGTAAGGAAGGGCATGCGATGGGGTGTCCCTGCCGTGTGTTCACGCACCCAGGGTTGATGTTGGGGGTCATCCTTAACTGCCTCCTGGTTACACCCAGAGCTCACCAGCATAGCTGGTGTTCTAACTCTTGGGATCCAGTCTCTGCTTGCGTAGCCGACAGGTGCCTTCCCAGAGCTTACCTGAGTCTTCGGGATCTGAACTCAGGCCTGGCACTTTAGCAGATGAGCCGACTCCCCAAGCTCGCGATGCTGTTTTAACCTTCATCTCAAGCTGACGGGTTGAGGAGTGACTCTGAGGTGCCCCATGGTTTTGCATTCTGTGTGCCTTTGTTTGCCTGTCCTGATCATTATGGATTTTAGGCCAGCCTGAGCTACAAAGACAAAGTTCTAGGAAAGCTTGGGCAATAGTTAGAGCCCATCTTGAAAGGACGCGGGGAAAGAGACGATAGGAAAGGATCAGCACTCCCTGCGGGCTTTCTGCTTGCCTACGAACCTTTATTTGGAGTGCATAGCAACAAACCCTTACCCCACCCAGGCCGGGGCCAGGCACACCGTGGCACCACCGTCAAGGGCAGGGCACCTGGCCCCCACCCGCCACTAACGCCCTGGCCTCTGCAAGGACTGTCCAACGGTAGGACAAGGCTCCAGAGTTTGGGGATGGTTGTGTCACTCACTCAGGTGCCCAGCAGCACATGTGGCTTGCTAGAAACTGGCCTCATGTGGCCGTTTTCAGGATGGTGGGTGGCTGAGATGAGAGCTAAGAGACTCAGCGTCCCAGGAAGCAGGCCGGGATGCACAGGTGTTTCTTAGAGGCTACCGCCTGTTGGGGGGAGCCTACCGGGTCAATCCTGAGTGACATTTATCCTCATGGCTAATTTGTCAGCGAGCCCGTTGGTCTGGGAGGCCTGTAAGACACTCTCAAGAGCAGGTTAGCTTCAGCGTGCTCATCTGGAGTTCTAGGGCTCTCTGAGCTTTCCTAGAAAAGCTGTGGGAGTAACATCAGGGAGACAGGGCAGGTCCAGGAGATCCCCACGCTGGACTCCCATGACGCCACCTTGCTGCACCAGCCCAGTCTTGACTTGGGTCTGTGCCCTTGAGCCACCTTCATCTGGGAATCAGAACCCTTAGCAGTCCCCCACACCAAGCTGAGTAACCTCCCTGTCCACACACCCAGTGCCTACGAGGGCAGCAGATGCCAGGCAGCCATGACACGTGTGCGTCTCCCCTGTCCCTCCAGATCCCCGACGTTCGCCGGCGGCCTCTTCTCCATCTCCAAGGCCTACTTTGAGCACATCGGCACCTACGACGACCAGATGGAGATCTGGGGAGGAGAGAATGTGGAAATGTCCTTCCGGGTGAGGATGGAGAAGGCCTGGAGGATGGAACCCCAACATCTCAGGGGATGTCCGGGCAAGGTCTCGTCAGAAATGATAGGGTGTCTGCTTCCTGCCACGGCTCCCCTCTCAGGGCCATGGAGAGCAGACTGATGGCTTGGACCAAATTCCAGGGCAGAACCTGAAGAAAGAGGAAAGGGGTAATAGGAGAAGTGAGGATCGAACTTAGGACTGTTTCTTGGAGGCTATGGGAAATGGTTTGGGTGAAGGTGAAACAGGAAGTGGTTATCATCCTCCATTTTGGAAAAATCAGGCCCCTCTTCCCAAGCCAAGGGGCGCTGCTGGGGCAGCCTATGGGTTTTCCCCGTGTGCTTTCAACGAGCTCTTCATAACTGAGAGACAGGCGGTGGGACCCACTCCTGATGGAGGCAGAACTCCGAGGAAGTCTGAGAACGAGGCAAATCAAAATAGAAGGGATTGGCCTTAAAGGCTGCGTGAATCCCCGTGCCACAAGAAAGTGATAGGAGAAAGAGCTCCTTAATGGAGTTGCCTCCCCGAGTCTGGTTCACATCAAGCATGTGACTGCTTCCTGGTGTGGCTGTGGCTGTGACTGTGGACTCTGTTGCTGCCAAAGCAAAGGTGAAGAGCGGGCACCTCCCGAGGCCCAAAAGAGACCAGTGGGGCACGAGTCTGCAGCCAGCCTGCTGGCGTAGAGAAGGGCCTCTGTCCCTGAGCCAGGCTCTCCGCTAGAAGAGTGGCACTCCCAGGGACCGCAGGCCTCTGACGGATGCTGGTCTGGGGGAATTCGGGTTTTCTGTGACCTCCCCCAGCTAAGCTTTCACACCAGATCAGAGAGTCGAGTGGCCAGAGCCGGAGGTACACACATGGCACGGGACCTCTGCCGTGGACCCTGACAACATCCCAGAATCACTCACCCAGAGTGCGCAGCGCAGACAGAGAGCCTGGAAGTGGGCAGCCATGCCCTGGGAGGGCCACCGTGTCTCTCTCTCCAGGGATGGGAAGGGTGACGATTACTCACGCAGGACCTGTGCTGTCCTGGGGAGCTTGCCCTCCAACCTGCTGAAGGCCCCATCCTGTCTTCTTTTGTGTCAGGTATGGCAGTGTGGGGGACAGCTGGAGATCATCCCCTGCTCTGTGGTAGGCCACGTGTTCCGTACCAAGAGTCCCCACACCTTCCCCAAGGGCACCAGCGTCATTGCGCGCAACCAGGTACGCCTGGCTGAGGTGTGGATGGACAACTACAAGAAGATTTTCTACAGGAGGAATCTGCAGGCATCGAAGATGGCCCAGGAGGTAAATCTCTGGGTGTCTGGGGAGCAAAGCGTGAGATCCCGGCCCCTTGTCAGCCACACAGTGGCGGACCATCCGATCTCCCTTCCTTCCTCAGAACTCTGGCCACTGCCCCAAGCACACCAGGCCCTGAGGCTGCCCTCTGCCTGGGGAGTCCCAGCATCCCTCCGAGGGGAAGGAGAGGAAGGAAAAGAGACAGGAGAGGGAGCCTGCCTCCGTCTACACGGAAGGGCCTGGGCTGTGGCACTGACTCTTGAGGGGACTCGCTTGGTTGACAGAATGACTTCGGTGACATTTCGGAGCGACTGAAACTGAGGGAACAGCTAAGCTGCCACAACTTCTCCTGGTACCTGCACAATGTCTACCCAGAGATGTTTGTCCCTGACCTGAACCCCACCTTCTACGGAGCCGTAAGTTAGCCTGCCAATCGCCGGGGCCACCCCAGAAAGTCAAGACCATGCGGTACAGCAACAGACAAGATGAGCCAGGAGGACGGAGGAGACTTTGGGGCTTCCTCCAGTAGTTAAAACCTGATAAACTATGAGTAGAGATTCTTAAGCTTTGAGTCTGTGAGACTCCCCGGGAGGCGTGTTAAGACATGTTGTGAGGCGAGGCCCCAGCTTCGGGCAAGTCCCCGGAGATGCTGAGGATCAGCTCCCTAGTGCTGAAGACCTCTCCAGACTGGGCATCCTAAGACTGTTCCCCTGCAGAGGTCACCTGCCCTGCCCAGCCCCGCCCAGTTCCTCCCAGCCCCGCTACAGTGTGAGCTCCAGGGTTCGTGCACAGAGAGGGAAAATCTGTCCAGGTGGGCCCCACACCCAGCTGAGCTGTCCTGCCCCCCCCCCCCCCCCCGCTTTGTGCAGATCAAGAACCTCGGCAGCAACCAGTGCCTGGATGTGGGCGAGAACAACCGAGGAGGAGGGAAGCCTCTCATCATGTATGTCTGCCACAACCTCGGCGGCAATCAGGTAGAAAAAGCCTGCTCATCCCGCAGCCCACAGAGGCCTGTCTCCGGCGCCGCCTCTCCCCACGGGCCCCCTTTCTCCAGTCTAAACCTTGCTTCCCTGAGGCCTGCGTTAGAGGAGATGCAGGAGGCAGCCCCCCCCCCCCCCCGCAGGACGCACACAGACAGGGCCTGAGCCAGGGACACAGGGCTGGCATCATGCTGGGCACTGGAGGATGAGGGCACACCACCAACAGGGAGGGCCTTTGGTGAAGCTGGCTGCTGGGCCCTGAGGAGAATTGTTGAGCGCTTTCCCTCTCACCTACGCCTATACAGACTCAGCTTTTACCCCTAATCCCCTGGCCAGAAACTACCACTGTGACCCTACTCCAGGAGTGAACCCCCCCCCCAAGCAGCCACCTACTGCTCCCCTGCCTTCGTCTGCTCTCTAATGCTGCGTTTTAGACACAGGGTCTCACTACCTAGCCCTGGCTGTCCCAGAACTTCCTATGTAGACCAAGCTGGCCTCAAACTCATAGAGATCCATCTGCCTCAGCCCCCTGAGCTCTGAGCTTAAGCTGTGTGCCAAGGTAGCAACTAACCAGCATGTTCCCCTTCCACTGCCGCTCAGCCGTCCAGTACCCAGATTCGGGAAATAAAAAGTGTTTACGATCAGAGCTGGAGCAAGAGGAACAAAAGCGAAGCCTCTGAAAGCAGGGTCAGGTACAGCCAGCCTGTAAGGGTTTCAGGCAGCCCGTCGATGACTATTTTACTGCAATGGTCATTCATTAGCAACCCCTGAACTAGCCAGCCACTGCGATGACACTTACCACGGGCTACACGGCACAGCGTTCTGCTGGCTGGAAGGCTGAGGCACAAGGATCAAGCGTTTGAGGCCAGCCTGGTCTACATGACAGAGATGTAGACTAGCCTGAGCTAGAGAGCAAGACTCCATGTCGCAGCAAACAGCACACTAGCTGGTGCTTAAAATAAGGCTAAGGTAAATTTTAATGTATAGTTCAAGTTATATGTACCATAACTCCCATGTAACATGGCGGGCACAATCCTGAAAAGTCTTGGCACAGCTGGTTCCCTGCCCGGGAGGCCACGCAGTCTTCACCGTAGGGCAGTGGCTTCGGGAGGCCGTGCGCAAGCTCCCCGCCTGCTCCTCGGGGCTTCTTGTCTTGCCTTCCAGTACTTTGAGTACACATCCCAGAGGGATCTTCGCCACAACATTGGGAAGCAGCTGTGTCTACACGCCAGCGCTGACACGCTGGGCCTCAGGAGCTGTCAGTTCGTTGGCAAAAACAGCAAAGTGCCCAAGGACGAGGAATGGGAACTGACCCAGGTGAGTCACTGGCCCCAAGGGCTCAGGGCCTTGAGTGCACAATGGCACATCTGCTCTTCTCCTCCTCCTCATCTCCTGCCTGAGCACCATGGGGTTGGAGCAGGGCAGAATGCACAGTAGGTGTGATAATGCCTGCTTCTAGCTGATTAAAAGAAGAAGGAGGAGGAGGCTGAGCGTGGTGGCGCACACCTGTGATCCCAGGGCTCAGGGAGGCAGAGGCAGGCGGATCTCTGCGAGTTTGAGGCCAGCCTGGTCTACAAAGTCCAGGACAGCCAGGGCTACACAGAGAAACCCTGTCAAAACAAAAAGAAATGGAGCCGAGATGATCCACAGACTCTTCTGCCATGGTACATTTTAAGGCTGAATCCAATAGCTGACGGTGGAGAGTCCCTCGGTCACAGCTCTCGCCCGCCTCCGTGCACAGGTACAAGGCAACGCCCAGCCAGGCGTTCAGGGGCTTTGTCCCAAAGGACACTATCCCCACTTCTACCAAGCACTCAAGTGAAATTCAGTAAGTTTGTTTGGCCCGGGTCTTACCACTGGCAAATGGCAGGCCGTTTGCAGGAATTCAGAGCTCCCTGAATTGGCTGGAGGTTCAGAGTCTTTCCCTGAAGCACACTTCTTTCTGTGGGAGAGATGGTGGTAATTAGCACCAGTCAGTCAGAGCTCTACCTCCTTAATTGCCTGCTCAGAAAAGGAATGGCCTAACCATGAGGCTACCAGAAAGGACAGAGCCCAGGTTTGACCAGAAGCAGAAAAGGGGGCAGCAGATGTGGCCCCAAATTCTTGATCCTGCCCACCCTGAGTAAAGGGAGGTCCTGAAAGGGTGTCTCTATCAGCCATGGTCTTGCAGTCTTCGGGGACACCATCGGGCTAAGGCCAGACCCGGGTCCAGCAGCTCCATGGAGGGAGCTGAAAGCATCGTCTTGGTGCCGCATTGCGTCCCCTTTGCCTTTCGTCGGCTGCCCCTGTCTCACTGCTCTCAAGTTGTCCCTTTGCCTTCCAGGACCAGCTCATCAGGAACTCAGGGTCTGGCACCTGCCTGACGTCCCAGGACAAAAAGCCGGCCATGGCCCCCTGTAACCCCCGGGACCCCCTCCAGCTCTGGCTGTTTGTCTAGGCCTGGGACCATTCCTGGTGCAGGCCCAACAAGCTCCCCAGGAAGTGGGGTCACCAGGCATCTGGGAGTCTTCTCCTAGCTCCTCTGGAGGCCTGAGAGTTGGATGTCTAAGCCCAGCGGCCAACAGGGCAGGACCCTCCCACTTCCTGCAGTCACTACTCTCTTTCCTCTGTACCGGAGGAAGAGCCAGGGGCCACATGCTAGTTGGACCAGGCCTCTCCTCTCCTCGAGACAGTGGCCTCCGAAGAGCCTAAAAGTGTGCTGCAGAGGGATGGAAGTGCAGAGACCCTCCCTTGCTAGCACACGCCCTAAGGGCAAGCGGTGGAGATGTACACCGAGTGCCTTTACCCACGTTGCTTGCACAGTTACCCTCGGAAGAGACAGGAAGGAGCTCAGCCCGTTGTGTCAGTGAGAAGGTTGAGACTGAGCTGGGATAATGTTTAGGGAAAGGTCCTGCCTTCGACCACCTCGCACCACAGAAAACTGAAAAGAAGGGAGACCAGGAGAGGAGAGCAGGCAGGGAGACGCAGAGGCTCAGGCTGGGGCCGAGGCTGCATCTTTGGTGCTGAACCTGGGCTCTTCCGCACACAAGCACACTAGGCAATGAGCTGCCAGCCTGGCCATTCTTTGACCCCTCTCTGATCGTTCTGGCTGGCTGGCCTCCAGCAAGATGGGAGGCCGCACTGAAGGCCCCCTTTGTTTTAAGCCATGTTTAAAGTGATAAAATGCAAAGCAGGAAGTAGACGTGAAGGCACAGGCTTGTAGTCTTGGGACTCAGAGACTGAGGGAGGAAGGTTCTTCAGTGCAAGGCCAGCCTGAGCGGCAGAGCTAGACCTTGTCTCTAAAGCCACGGAAACCAGCACGGGGCATGTGGAGGGCGCGGCCTCGCAGCCCTGAACTCCGGCAGCCCGCTTTTTATATTTATTCTTCAGCAGAAACTAGGCAGGTGCTTTGTCCAGGGAAGGTGTTTGTGGGCTCTGAGCCCAGACCCCAGATAAGGCTAATCAGCATGCGAGCGGGCCAGGCACAGTGTGCAGATGGCAGAGGACTGGCCCGTCTGAACGAGCATCCTGTGTGGAGCTGCACTGAGAATGCCAACCCCCCCACATTCAACCTGGAGCCCACCAGTACTGGAGGAGAACAGAAACGCCCTGGAAGGCTTTGGGGAGCATAGTAGCAAGCTGTCGCCACACGAGGGCACCAGGGGACCACGGCTGCTCTCCTGGGAAAAGACCAGGCGTGGTCCAGCCAGAAGGAAGGAACCTCGCCAGGCTGAGATCCTGGGTGGGGTGCCAAGGCGCAGACTGATATGGAAACCTGGTGGAAATAAAGGTTGTTTGTATTGGGGTCCTCTCTCCCTGCTTTGGTCCACAGCTGAAAGACTGAACTCTCAGGAACCACATGGGTCTATTACAGCCACTGCCACTAATCTACAAACATCCTGTAGCCAGCGTCCTGAGCGTGAAAGGCGTGTAGGTGTGAGGTGTAAGATGGGGCCCCTCCCCTGTGGAACTCCCTCTTTAAATGTGAGCCTTGGAGTGTGCTAGGAAAGGGTTAAAGGGAGTCAGGAGAGACCTCGGACAGTGGCCACCAACTCCATCAAAGGAAGTGGTAGGAAGGACTCGGGCAGAGATCTCGCATAGGCAGCTCTTCAGCCAAACCACAGGCCAAGGTAGGAGCCTGGAGAACAGGGACAGTCGGATGATGGGGTGATGGGGATGGAAGCTAGAAGGTGGCATTGGTGGGTCCTGAGGCAGAAGCAGGCAGATATCAGTGTGAGGCCAGCCTGGACTACACAGCAAGCTCAAGGCCAGCCAGGACTATAAAGCCTCAAAAAGAGAAAAAATGGGGGTGGGGAGGCTGGAGAGATGGCTCAGTGGTTAGGGTTCCTTTCTGCTCTTCCAGAGGAAGAGTTCAAGTTCCAGCAGCCACGCAGTGACTCACAACCACCTGTAACTCCAGTTCTAGATTCCATGACCTCTTCTGGCCTCTGAACACACCAGGCCCATGAGTGATACACAGACACACATGCAGCAAAACACTCATACCCATACAATTTAGACAGGTATTAAAAAAAAAGAAGAAGAAGAAAAGAAAGAAATTTAAGAGCTGGGAGAGTTCAGTCAGTAGCATGGGCCTGGTATGCTCAAGTGCCAGGGTTTTTCCTCTTATCCAGGTAAATTATGTGTGGTGGAACAAGCCAGTAATTCCAGCAGCCAGGAGTTGGGAGCAAGAAGAGACGTTCACATTAGCAGCTACACAGAGAACTGGAGACCAACCTGGCCTACAATGATGACAACAATATGTTCAGATTGCAGTGACATAAAGATGACCATGCAGATTCTATTCATTTCTTCAGGTCTTGCTGAAACAATTTCATAGGCCTCTAAATGTATTCTGGACCCTAAGCACTGTTCCTACTGGCTAGATCCACCCTGTAGAAGAGTGGGCTAAATTCCAGCTGAGAAAGGCTTTGTGTACTGTGCTAATGGGTTAGTTATAGGGAGTCAAATTCTTGACCCTAATGTTGGCTCCATTAAACATCCAAATATTTGGATATTTGGATATATAAGTTATTTCCCATTTATTCCAGAATTCTCATATCGCCTTCTCAGCCCAATCCTATTATACCCAGCTAAGATGCCCACTGTATTATACCCAGCTAAGGTGCCCACTGTGATGCTGACAGGCTTACTCACACCTGCCCCCAAACAGAATAGCGTCTCCCAGGAGCTATTCCTCTCCTCTTCTTTCCAGACAGGCTCTTGCTGTGTAGCCCAGGCCGGCCTCCAATTCTCAATCCAATCTCCCTTGCCCCATGCTGGGGTCATAGGCTTGTACTGTTTCTTGAGTGTTGCCCTGCCACTGCTTCAGGAATCTTTCTGGAATAAGCACTCTGACACCAGTGGGAGTGGGAGAGAGGAGCTGCCACAGGTGGTCCAAACCCAGGACAGCTCCTGAAAGGCTTCCATCCTGGGCTCAGTTTAAATTCTCTTTTTAAAAAAAGATCGTATTTATTTATTTTATTATGAACATGAGTGCTCTATCTGCATGTACCCCTGCATGCCAGAAGAGGGTATAGATGGCTGTGAGTCACCTGTGTGACTGTGTGTGATGGCTGTGTGGTTGCTGGGAATTGAACTCAGGACCTCTGGACGAGCAGCCAGTGCTCTTAACCGCTGAGATAGCTCTCCAGCTCCTTGCATTCTCATTTTTATATTCTAAAGCCACAAGGTGGATTAGGCAAGCAAGTGATTTTTTACCAAAGCCTGTCTGCCTGGAGTCAGCAGCTTGTTAGGGAAGCAAGCAACCCATTGTTCCAGCTATTTCTCTGGGTCATTCCGTTCCAGGCAGCAAATGAAGACGTCGTGCTTGGCAAATAGATAGTACAAGCAGCGCTTTAGGTAAATCAACAAATAAATCAACAAATCAGTGTCTAATAGCTGTTCCTTTTCTTCTTTAATCAGATCCAATTCACCATCAGATCCAATTCATTCCAGCTTCCCCTCTATCATCCTGGGTTTTTCCAAGGTTGGCGGGAAGTTCTATGACCAGCCATGAAGTTCTGTGGTAAACTATGCTAAATACCACAGCCTCCTGCTGGGCATGGTGGCCCATGCCTTTAATCCCAGTACTCAGGAGGCAGAGGCAGGCAGATATCTGTGAGTTCAAGGCCAGCCTGGTCTACAAAGCGAGTCCACAATAGCCAAGGCTACATAGAGAAACCCTGACTCAAAAGAAAAGAAAAGAAAAAAAGAGTGTGTTCTTAGGATTGAAATAGCTTACTTGAAGAAAAAACACAATTCAGTGTCTCAGCACTGCAGCCAAGCAAGGCCACTGTCATGTGGGAATTAGAGTGTCTGAAGAAGCCATGTGCCATTCTTAGCACTTACAACCTCAGCAACCAGAGACTGAGGCAGAGGAATCTGAGTTCAAGACCAGACCCTGGTCTTGAAAAAGAGAGAGCTTGGCCAGTTAGGAGAGAAGTACCAGTTGTGAAGGGTTTAAGTGGAACCCTAGAGATTGTTCCGTGTTTGGGCTTGTTTGAGAAAGGGTGTCAGCCTGAGCTGGCCCTGAAGTCCCTGATTCTCCTTCCTCTACCTTCTATGCCCTGGAACTGCAGGTGTGTGCCCCAGTCCTGGCAGGAGGCTGGTTTTCATGTGCATTCAGACAGGGGTTCTCTGTGTCAGACCAAGAGCAGAGACAGTCCTGCCCATAAGCATTGAGGGCACTGGAATCTATGGTGTCTGACAGTACACTTAAGAGGCCCTCGGGCTGCTTCTTGAACACCTCATCCTAGACCAGCAACTGACTGCCAGTCTCCAGAGAGGCAAGGAGGGAGGAGGAGAAGGAGAGGCCTAGGCTTCCCAGCCAGCTCATCACTCTGTTTCTGGATGCTGGAGGTGGACCTCAGAGGAAGGTCTTCAAGCTGGGCATCAACTCTCCTGAAGGCTCAGGGGACAGACTGAAGAGCGCTGAAAGCCTCTTTCCCAGCCTCCCAAAGCCCAGACTCAGGTGTGTAGGTAACAAGGGCCCCAGGGAAGCCTCAGCAGCTTCCAGGCTCTGCTGGGCTGCTGCTCCCACAGGCCTCTGCTCTGAGGCCTGCGATGGCTGAACATCTTGTGCCCAGCTGACGCTTTTCTGTCCTCTTCAGGGCACCCTGCCTTCTTTTGTGTGGCTTCGTCTTGTATGGCTTCTGCCCTCCATCCTCATGGCCTGAGTGTTTGCTCTTCCCTTCTGCCCACATGCTCATGCTCTGAGAGCTCTGTGCCTTTCCCATGGAGCGTCTCCAGATGTTTCTCTCCACAGCATCTTCTCTGCTTTGCTCCTGGGCTGAGCTTTTATCTATGTGCTGTGGACAAACCCCATCTCCCTCTTTAGACACAGAGAACTTCTGTGTCTCCTCTTCAACCCAACCCCCAGTCCCGAGTGCCCAGGACAGGTCTCTGCATTCATAGCGCCACAGTAGACAGTGAGATGGTGGCGGGTAAAGAGAGAGATTCCGACAACATGGGGTACTGAAAAAAAAAGCAATCCTCATCTTTCATCTTAATGTTTTAATTGTTGTATTTACCTCTATGTTTTTACAGCGTGCATGTCTGTGCATGAACATGTGCGTGTGGAGGTCAGAGGGCAGTCTGCAGGAATCCATTCACTCCTTCTACCATGTCAGTTCTGGGGATTGAACTTGGCTTGTCAGCTTGGTGGCAAAGGCCTCCACCCTCCCGGCCATCCCAACGGCCCTCTGAGGGTTTGTTGGATGCTTCTGAACTGACGCTAACTCAGTCAACTCAGGTTAGCTGAGCGCCGACCTTGTCCTGTCTTTGAATAACAGATAAATGAGTTGACTTGAGATGTTTTCATTTGAACTTCATGGCACCTGTGCTTTTCCCTGCCTTCTACCCACAGCCCTGCCCAGCTGGCGGGAGGAAGGTCAGCAAAGCTGCTGATAAGAGGAGTATAAAGAGGCTTCGCTCCATGGCAAGGGGACAGTGGTCTACTCTGCCTCCACAATGCTGCGTCTGCTGCTGCTTGCCTCCCTGGTCCTGTGTGGTAAGTGGATCACCCGGCCTGAGTTCTGAGGGAGGGGACCTGAGCAGTGAGGGTCAGAAAGTCTCTAAGCCTGGGCTGGCTCTCTGTCTCAGAGGAAGGTAGGAAGCAGGGCCTAGCAAAAGCCTTACCCTCCTGGAGGAAAAAAACAGGCAGGAGCAGCACCGGCGGGCCTTGCAGCACCTGCCCGGTGGCGGGTTCCTGCGCCAAGGGGCAGAAAGACGCCCTTGGGAGCTCCCCACAACCCTCTTGGCTTCGAGACACCCCCAGAAGGTGCCTGACCGGGTGTGCACTGCTGTCCACGGCTCCTGGAGAACCCTGCCAAAGGACAGGAAGGGTTTCCTGGAGACCGGAGGTGACCTCGAGCCAGGGAGGGGCCTCGGCGCCTGCGGGACCCTCGCCTGGCAGTTTGACATAGGTCTTCATGACAAGGCAGAGCGCTCAGACGCCCCAAAGAAGCAGAAGGCGCCCTGAGCTGTTTCCAAAGGAGGCCAGAGGGGCTCAGACAAGTCTGGGCTGGGCCCCTCGGCATGTCGGGGAGAGCTGTGAATCTGCAGACCAAGCTAACAGTCTTCACAGCAGAGCCGCCGCTCCCCACCCCCGGCCTGGCTGACCCTACGCTTAGTCATCACTCACTTTTCTTCCACCCACAAAGGACACAGCGCCCAGGACTTTCCAGAAACTAATGCGCGGGTGGTCGGAGGGACTGAGGTCCAGAGGAACGCTTGGCCATCTCAGGTGGGTGTTCCCCCCGCCCAGGCTCTCACCCCAACAAGACATGCTGTGTACCAGCCCCCCCCCCAAAAAAAAAAGAAGCATTCACATGTGTATGTGTTTTTAGCTGCTCACTTGCTGTCCAATTCTGGAGCGTAAAGGTGTGTGGGACCAGACTGAGGTTGGACTCTGAGTGGGAAACACTGGAGGGAGTGAATTTATATGCCAGTCTCCTGGGCATGTGCTCAAACACGTGGGCATGTGCGAGATGTGCGAGAGAGAGAGAGAGACACAGAGAGAGTGCAGGAGTGCCACAGCACGGACGGTTTCTAGCCTTCCGCCATGTTTGTGGCACGGCCTCATGTTCCCGCCACTGTGCTGTGTGCCTCACACTGGTGCCAACCCCTCTGCCTCCCCAGTGCTGAGAAGAACAAACCAGTTGTTCACACAGGTCTTGAGGATTCACACTCAGGCCGTCAGGTTTGCACAGCAAATGACTTCATCTGGGCCTCAGACTTTGTTCCTTCTTTCTGTGGTGTGAGGACTTGAACCCAGGACCTTGGTCATGCCCTGCAAGCACTCCTTCTCTGAGTTACATCCTCGCCCCGAAAACCGCATTTGTTATTCCTGGGATGGCCTGTGTGACATAGTCACAGCCTATGTGCCGGGTGGACCCAAGAGGCCCCACACTCCCTAACCACGCTTCTGCCCTCCGATCCGCAGTGGACGTCCCACTCAGGCGCCGCGCACAGGGCCATGGCACTCCTCTGGCTTAGGTCACCACATCCTTGCCAGGGCAGTCGGGCTGACCCTGCAGATGTGAACGAGTAAGGCTGGCACCAGCTGTGGACAGGACTCTGCAATTACAGTGAATTCAGCTCACAGCAGTGCGAGCCCAGATCTACCGTATAACATGCGAAAACACACACTGATCTAAAAAGAAAGAATATTCCATGGTCATTTCCAAGTACTCCTTGCGGTGAGAGGCCAGGGTATTTCTCGTGTGTTTTTCAAGACAGGGTTTCTCTGTGTAGCCCTGGCTGTCCTGGGACTCGGTCGGCGGACCAGGCTGGCCTCGAACTCAGAGATCCGCAGTCCACTGCCGGCCAGGGGAGGTGGGCTAGCTGGGCCATGCCCGCCGGGAAGAGACCGTTTTGCAAGACGTCAGGAGCTTTGGCAGGACCCGACCCCGCCCCGCTTTCTTCCTCCCGCCTAGATCTCGCTGCAGTACCTGTCCCGGGGGTCATGGTACCACACGTGCGGGGGGACCCTCGTGCGCCGCAACTGGGTGATGACGGCCGCCCACTGCGTGGACAGGTGAGGCTCCCCCAGCCCGCGCCGGCGGGCCGCTTCCCGGAGAACCCCGACGTGGGCCGCCGAGCCTGTCTGCGTCTGGGTGTCGCCGGGGGGGGGGGGGGGGGACAGCACAGAGAGGGTACAGGTAGCGTGCGCGCGTGGGTGTGCGCGCGTGGGTGTGTGCGCGCGCGGAGACGCTGAGCTCATTTTCTATTTTCCTCAAAGCCAGGTGCCCCGCGCACCGTCTAGTCAACCTCCGCTGCGAGCCTGACGCCCTGCAAATGCGCAGCTGATGGCTGCTGCCCGCGGGGTCCCTCGAGGCCTCCGGCGCCCCTCCGGAAGTCCCCTCCGTCCCGCGGGGCAGGACCCCCCTCAGGCTCCCGTCTCTCTGCAGCCAGATGACGTTCCGAGTGGTGGTGGGGGATCACAACCTGAGCCAGAACGACGGCACCGAGCAGTACCTGAGCGTGCAGAAGATCGTGGTGCACCCGAGCTGGAACAGGAACAACGTGGCTGCGGGGTAGGCGGGGCGGGGGCGGGGCGGGATGGGGGTGGGCGGGGCTGCGGGGGTAGGCGGGGCGGGACGGGCTGCGGTGGGCGGGGCGGGCTGCGGGGTGGGCGGGGCTGCGGTGGGCGGGGCTGCGGGGTGGGCGGGGCTGCGGTGGGCGGGGCTGCGGTGGGCGGGGCTGCGGGGTGGACTGCCGGGCCCTGGGTCCGGTGCGGGCCAGAGGGTTGTCTGAAACGTCCTCTGCGGCGTTTGAACCCTGGCCGTGTTGAGGAGGGCCCCGGGCCGTGCAGAAGGACGGGTGCTGGATTCGGACCTGGAGGGCCTGAGAGTGCCGGGAGGGCCTCCGGGTTCGTCCCTCGTGGATGGGTCTGCATCCCGCGGGGCCTTTTCTCTGCCGATGTCCCCGTTTCTCTGGGGGCGGTGTTCGGGTTTGGGCTGGCTGTTGGGTAACTCCATCCTGCCTCGCTCGTTCTCTGTCACCCAATCTATACTTCATCTGCACAAAGACACCGTGTTGGTTTTGGCTTGGTCTGGCGTAGGGGAAGGAGCCCAGGCCCTGAACGTCCCAGGCGGGTAGTCCACCCTTCCCCACACCTGAGCCCCTGAGGAAATGTCTTCGAGCGCGTTGTAAAGTTTTGGAAGGGCGACCTTAAGATGGTCGTTAGGGAGCAGCCCTCAGTGGGGCGGTCTTGCAGGCCCAGCACTTGAGAGGCTGATGAGGAGTTCAGAGTCGCTGTCACCCACGCAGCTACGCCGCCCGCGCTCCTTCGGTCCTGGCGGGTCTCCACCCCACGGACGGAGCGGAGCCAGCCTGCAGTTCCCACACGCGACCAGCAGGTGCTGCTGTCGTGCATCTGACGCCCTGCCGCTCGACCGCGTGCCTGGGAGGGTCTGAGCCGTCTCCTTTCCTCCTGCAGCTATGACATCGCCCTGCTGCGCTTGGCCCGGAGTGCCACTCTCAATAAGTACGTCCAGCTGGGTGTGCTGCCCCAGGAAGGGACCACCCTGCCCAACAACACGCCCTGCTACATCACAGGCTGGGGGAAAACCAGAAGTAAGCGGGCCTCACTCCCAGCACACACCCACGCGCACACCCGAGCTCGGGTGAAGTGGCTGGGTGTCCGGGGCAGCTTCTTCTGTGGCCTAGGCGTTTGTAGCCAGGCACCAACAGCCTAGGCGAACGGCAGACCACATCACTGACACATTAGAAAGAAGAGGCCGTGAGACCGTCGAGTCACGGGTTCACAGGCTCTTAGGGCTGAAGAAAAAAGGAAAAGGAAACCTTACCAGGGAGACGATTTTGTGCTGGCCGATACTTTACACCTTAGGAAACGGGTGCTGACCTCCACAGGCTGAGCAGAGACCTGGAGGCTGGAGGTGGAGTTGCAGGTCCCTGTCCTCCTCTCCTCCTCAGGGAATGGCCTCGGTCGGGAAAGCTGGGAGGGCTGTGAGCAGGCAGGGGCAGGAAGGAGCAACCCGAGGCAAGACTGAGAACCTGGCAGCCACAGGCGGGTTTGGGGCTCTGGAGAGGAGCTGGGCCTTGCTGTGAGCAGTCTTTTGAGGAAGCCAGGGGCAGACACAGGCTGGTAGTCCAGCTCTCAGTGTGTGTGGTAGCACGGTGGTCCCACTACAGGAGCAGACTGTGACCAGCTGCAGAAATGGCACCACATGCTAAGGCTGTGAGGACTCAGAAGAGCCAGACAAAGGAAAGCTGTACCAAGCTCATTCTTCAAGTGATTCATTTGTATTTCTTTTAACTATAGGTACATGTATGTGCCCGCACATGTTTGAATGGACATATATGTGTCCGCACATGCTTGAATGTACAGATATGTGCCTGCACATGCTTGAATGTACAGATATGTGTCTGCACATGCATGAAACATGGGGCCCGTAGAGTTCAGGAGAGTGTTTGCCCAGATGGGTGCTAGGAGATGAGCTCAGGTCCTCTGCAAGAGCAGGAAGGGCCCCCAATCACGGAGCCATCTCTCCAACCACCGTAAGCTCTTAGGAAGCAGAAGGAAGCTGACAATGGCTTAGTCCTCTGATCCCAGCTCTCAGGGGGCTGAAGTAGGAGGAGCTCTGTGAGTTCAAGGCCAGTGTGTGCTATACAGTAGGTTCCAGGACAGCTATGGCTACATAGTGAGAATCTGTCTTAAGAAGAGGAGGAGGAGCAGGAGGAGGAAAGGAAGGGGAATAAGATACTGGCTGCTTGAGAGCCTGAAGCAGGGGGACTGGGAGTTTGTGGCTAGCCTGAGCTAATGAGGCTCCATCCCCCAAAAAAGGGCGAGGAAGGGAGGTGGGAGGGATGACGGGGTGGGGTGGGTTTCTACAGTGGCCCCTTTGCTCTGCTGTGTGGTGGGGCTTCCTGTGTAAGAGCAGGACGAGCAGAAGGCTGTGGACACTCTGCCATTGCCTAGCTGTTATCCGGAGTGGGAACGAGCAAAGGCAGGCCTGGGAGTTAGGGTTAGCACCTGGGAGCAGCCAACCTGTGGTCCCGCCTGCAGAGGAGACCACACCAGGCCGAGAGCAGCTGGCCAAGTTTAGGTCTCCAGGTCTTGGGCAGGTTTCGAGGGATGTGGAAGGGCTCTTCCCCACGCTGACCTCCAGTGTGGTGTCCCCGCAGCCAACGGGCAGCTGTCCCAGACCCTGCAGCAGGCGTACCTGCCCAGCGTGGACTACAGCATCTGCTCCAGCTCCTCCTACTGGGGCTCCACGGTGAAGAGGAGCATGGTGTGTGCCGGCGGGGACGGGGTCCGCTCAGGGTGCCAGGTGAGCCCACGCAGGCGTGAGCCCCACGGCCTCAGGGTGTGTGCCAGTGGGGTCAGGGTCCGCTCAGGGTGCCAGGAACATGGAAATGCCTCGCTCAGTGGCCTTGCCTCAGAAGCTCTGTGTGACCTAACACACCTGTGTTTACGTGTGTGTGTGTGTGTGTGTTCTTTAAAGTTACTTGTGTCCTTCAGAGGCTCTTTTCGTGGAAGCTGTGGGGATACTGGTAGTTAACTGTGTGGAGGGGAGTTTCGGTCCCTGTAGCCCTCTTCCATGCTTTTCCACTATTGCCCTTTACCCTGGCGCTGGCAGGAGCACCAGTGTGGACAGCGGGACCCATGCGAGACACTCTTACCATCTCTCTCCCACAGTACAAAGGCTTCTCTGTTCGGACAAGATGAACCCACAGGAAACCACATGACGGGTCTCGGCGCGGTTCGACCGTGTGCACTGTTCTCTCTCACATGCAGGGAACTGTGCTGGGTGCTGGGGACACACGGAGGGTTAGCAAGAGCAGTGTGCCCCGACAGTCAAGACTTCGCTCTGCTAGAGTCAGGAAAGGGTTACCTTCCCGGAGGAGACAGTGGAACCCCAGGGAGCTGTGAAGGGTAAGGAGAGGTGAACCAAGTAAAACGAGGAAAAGTTGCTCTGAAGAAGGGAGCAGCATGGAGAAAAGCATCGGGCCTAGAGCACCCAGACACTGACCGGGCTTTCCCTCCCGCTGGGACGGAGCTGAGAGCAGAGGCTCCTCAGCCGCGTCCAGCCTGCCGCCTGGACCTGTATGGCCTGTGGGCTACTGGTTATGGCTATAACCTTTGGAGATTTTTTTTTTTAATGAAAAAGACAGTATTCCAGCTGGTGGGCATGGGGCACAGGTATCAAGCTCTGGGTTCCATCGGCGTCATGAAATAGCGGAGCGTGCCTATAACTCCTAGGGAGGTAGAGGCCAGAGGCTCATCTCGGGCTACAAAGCCAGCTGAAGGCCAGGCCGGCGTACACGAGATCCCATCTTGAGAACAGAATAAAATAAAATGGAGCTTGGGAGAGAGGCAGGTGGGATGCCCTTAAGAATAAGTGTGACCCCTCACCCTGAGGAGAAGCTGCGGGAGAGTGAGAGAGGAGTGGGGCGTTGGGAAGGCCTACAAGAACACAATGCTCGAACCCTTCAGGACTGGGTGGAAGACAGAAAGCTCACCCAGAACTGAGAACGAGCAGCAGACAGAAGAGAAAAGCATGCAACGAGGATCCTCAAAACCTAGGGAAGACTGGCAGGCCATTCGGTAGCCGGAGCTGCAACAGATGGATGAGAGCTGTAGGCAGATGCTTTGGCAGCTGTTTGTCGTAGCAAGAACATCTGTAGATGGTGAGGGCAGGCGCACCGCTAACAAGTAAGGAGAAAAGACGTTCGTCAGGGAACGTGGCTCACTCTCCAAGAACCTCGGATGAGGGAGGGCAGACACGGTCTGGGGTATGAGGCAGACGGCATAGAAAGATGGACCTTCAATGGGGAGAAAATGGAGGATGACCCGAGGCAGAGAAGAAGGTATCCTGGAGAATGAGGAGAGGGTACAATGGAGGGCCTGTGATCCCAGTAAGGAAGCGAGAGTTAGAAGCCAGAGCCCAGGGGGAGCTGGCTTTAACTGGCGGTGAGGTGTTTCCTGAAAGTGGACGGGTTTGCCGGCTGGTCAGCCTCAAGTTGGCAGGTGTTCTGTTTTATTGCTTCTGGTTACTCATGAACCAGGAAGTCAACCTGAGTGCGGAAAATGAAGGTGCAAAGGTTGTCTGAGCCTAGGATAACTAAAGTGAATGGGGAAGGGATTATCCTTCCAGACTGGCATCCGCTCCCCTCTTTCCCGTAGACCCGCTTAAAGGGAACAGATCAGTTCCAGGCTGTCTTTTCTACTTGACTGGCAATGGCACAGGAATGCAGTTTGATTGCAGGGTCCCAGCTTTGTGGAAAAGGAAGCAGAGCTGCAGGAGACTGCCAGGCTGGTTAGAACAGCCCAGAAGGGATCAAAGGGATTTTGTGAACCCAAAGAAGCACAGGGAGCAAAGCAGCCACCGCTTTTGCAATTTTTATTGTCAAAACTTAAACACTATGACTCTGGGCACAACCATGTGTGTCTTTAATCCCAGCATTTTGAACGCACAAGCAGGTGGACATCCCAGTTCGAGGCCAGCCTGGTCTACATAACAAATTCCAGGCCAGCCAGAGATACACAGTAAGACCCTGTCTCAGAATAAAAACCAACAATAATAGTAATAATAATAATAATAATAATAATAATATGATGATGATGATGATGATGATGTTGGTGGTGAGGATGGTGATGATGATGGTGATAATGATGATGATGATGATGATGATGTTGGTGGTGAGGATGGTGATGATGTTGGTGGTGAGGATGGTGATGATGATGGTGATAATGATGATGATGATGATGATGATCACAATGGTAATGGTGCCCTAAGAGAGAAACACACACACACAGACTTCTGCACGGTACAGCACCCTCTAGATCTTCAGCAGCCAGCTACACCTAGCTCTGAAATATCCTCAAAGCATTGGTGGCGTCTGGTGGAGAGATGGTTTGCCTGGCAGCTCAGTCTTCCCTAACTCCAGCTCCAGGGCGTCTGACACCGTCTTCTGTGTGCAAACACGGTGCACAGACATACCCGCAGACAAACACATGCACGCAGGATAAAGCTGTGTTCACCCTAAATTTGTTAGGGCGTGGACAGGAGCGGTGCAGGTTTCTTTGTCTGAGTACACTCACCTGAAAATATTATCCTTTCCTAGGTAAGTGGGGTTGCAATGAGCTCCTTAAAGAATCAGCTCCAGCTGAATTTTGTTGGTTACTTTCCCCAGTTCTTCTTTGTGTGTTTATCTTCTGTGTGTGCAAGTGTGTGTGTGTGTGTGTGTGTGTGTGTGTGTGTGTGTTTATCTTTTGTGTGTGTGAGTATCTGGGGATAGTGGCCAGAACAACTTTTTTTTTTTTTGGTTTTTCGAGACAGGGTCTCAACATGTAGCCCTGGCTGTCCTGGACTCACTTCATAGCCCTGACTGGCCTCAGACTCACAGAACCCCACCTGCCTCTGCCTCCCGAGTGCTGGGATCACAGGTGTGGCCACCGTGGCCTGGGTTTTAGTGGTGCTCTCCAGGCACCGTCCACCTTTATTTTTGAGGCGAGCTCTCTCGCTATCCTGTAATTCTTAAAATAAGCTGGGACCCAGGATCTGCCTGTCTCCACCCCGCCCCTCCCCAGCACTGAGATTACAAGTGGGTGGTTCTATGCAGGGCTTTTTTATTTTTTTTAACCTGGGTTCTGAGGTTCTGGTCTCTACCCTTTAACCTCCCAGGCTGAGCTATCTCTCAGCCTCCTGTTCTTTCTAAGCCTAATCTCTATTGGTGCTGAAGCTGCTGCTGGTGGTGGCCACCACACCGCTCCCTCCCCAAGGAGCACTGCTCTCAGCTAGTCGCTGTTTGATTAGAAACTCTCTGTGTGGCTCAAACCGGTCTGGAATCACTATGTGACTCAAACAGCCTCAAACTCCCAGGTCCCTAAATTGCAGGATTACAGGCCTGTACAGCTCCGCAGGCACCCACGTGCATACACGTTATGAAAAATTACAAATAAAACAAGCCAGGCATGGTGGCTCATGCCTCACAACATTAGTTAAAGGAAAAGTATGTATGGGTCCTGTGCGTGTGTCTCACACCTGCAGAGGCCAGAGAAGGCGTAGATTTCCTGGAACCAGCATTAAGGGTGCAAGCTACCAGGTGGGCGGCCTTAACTCCTGGGTCACCTCTCCAGCCCCCACAAGGCCCTGTCTAAAGAAGGGGGGAGGGAGGAGAAAAGTGACAAAAGCCACAGGCTCCGTTTCTAATCTCCCCAGTAAGCACTCTAGCCTGCTGGCAAGCTGGCTCAGCATAGCTGACAGCCTGAGTTCAGTCCTCAGGACACGCACAGGAGAGAGCCAACTCCTGAAAGTTGCCCTGTGACCCCCATGCAGGAAGAGCAGCAAGGATGTAAAACTGCAGCCCCCACCCACCTCACCCCACTCCCACCCTCCCCCACCCTTCCCCACCCCTGCCCACATCCACCCCCCCACCCCTGACACAGTGAAATCCAGTTCAGAGTTCACTTCCTTTGCATCCACACAATGGAAGTCTCTCCTTCCTTTACACACACACACACACACACACACACACACACACACACACACATACACACACACACACCCCTGGCAGCATTCATTCATGTCCTGCCTTGGATTATGGCTTCAGTCTCTTACACACTAGGAATTTGGGGGGATATTGTCTTACTACGACCTTTCCTTTCCACAATGGTGCTCAGAACTTTAAATTCTAATTTTCCTTCTCTCTCTTCTCTTCTCTTCTCTCTCTTCTCTCTCTTTCTCCCCCTGTGTGTGTGCCAGGTGCACAGTGGGAAGGATGTGAGCTGCAGTTGTAGAATCCAGTTTCTCTTCCCGGCAGGGTGATTCTGGAGGGCCCCTGCACTGCTTGGTGAATGGCCAGTATTCTGTCCACGGAGTGACCAGCTTCGTGTCCAGTATGGGCTGTAACGTCTCCAGGAAGCCCACGGTCTTCACCCGAGTCTCTGCATACATCTCCTGGATGAATAATGTGAGTCCTGGAGTTGATCTCTGCCCATCCAGGCCCTGGCTGGGTTAGGCAGGAAAATCCAGGCTGGGAAGCCATTGTCTTCCCTAGTTCCCTCCCTCCCTCGGAAGAGGCTCCTCTCCTGACCTTACAGACAGGCAGAGCTCCCCTCCCCACCCCAGGAGCACGCCAAGGAGGGGTAGCTGCACAGAGTTCCGTCCCCACACCCACCTCTCCCTTCAGCTCTTCCTCATTCCCACTTGTGAGAGATGCCGTGCTGAAGGGTCAGGTGGCTGTTCAGAGTGGAGCCACATTGTGCCTTCCGGCCATCAGACACACTCCGGAGCCTTGTCACCCTAACCTGGCTCACAGCCGTTTTCTGAGCTGCCCCTGCTCACGCTGGGTGTGGGGCTAACACTGCCATGTGAAGCCTGCTTTCTGCGGCCCAGCACTGCCATGCTCAACTAGAAGCCTCGAGGGAAGGGAAAAGGAAGTGGACAAGGTCACTGACTGCGAACCTATCTTTCCCATCTTTCCCCCTTCAGGTCATCGCCTACAACTGAGCGCTTTCCTGAGTCCACTGGCCTTTCCAAGATGGACTAGGGCTGGGGTCAGCGCTCAGTGGCCAGGCACCTGTCTCACAGGTGTGAGGCCCTGGGTCGGGGGAGGGCAGAGAAGAGCTGCTGGTGTGCCCAGTGGTAGCAGCAAAGGTAGGAAGTTAATGAAAAACAATTCTGAGACCATTGAGACAGATACAGAAAGGCAAATAAAATGGAATGTATTATCATATTGTGTGTTTGTGTTTATAATTAAGCCCCCTACAGGAAATAGAGTTGAAGGACCTAAGATGGATTTCACCACAACCACGGCCTGGTTCTTCCCCTTGCTCTGTATTTAGAAAAAGTGCTGACTCCAAGCTCCTGGATGGCAGGCTGCCCTAGAGATACCAGATTAGGTCAGAGCCAGCAGACTAAGGGAGCAGAAACAGAGGCGGAAGGACAGGGAGCAGGAAAGAAACTAAATAAAGACAAGAAATAGCTGGGAGAAAGACAGAGACCAAAAAGGAAAAGGCAGCCTCTCAGGGCTGGAGTTAAGCGTGAATCGGCACTTTACAGCGAGACTAACATAGACAGCTAGATCCGGTCTCCAAAACCACACACATCTGGGAAGCTGATAACCGTGCTACGCCAGGTCAGGGCTCAGTGTGTCAAGAGTGGCCTAGGGGGAGCAAGGGGGAACTGAAAGTTCTGGAGGACGAGCAGCTTTTCACAGCAATCACTAAAGGGCAGATGTGAGGGGCAGGGAGACAGGCTGAGGCAGATCCCCGGCACCAAAGGCCCCCCACCCCGCCCTGAGGACCCTCCGCAAAGGTAGAGCTGGATCCTTGCCTTTGCAAGGAAGAATTTCAGGATAGTGAGGCAGACTTAGTTTACCAAGTAGACACGCTGGGGCCACAAGCTTTAGACCTTAGCGCTGGCATCTGGCGACAGCACATGACAAGAGAAATACAGGTCCAGTGTGGGTGTGGTGTCTCCATTCAGCCCCACCTCGTGTCCTTACCATGGCAAACTACATATTTATGTAACATATAACGATTATTGCTCTCTAAGCTATATTGCTTAAAAGATGTAATTCACAACAAAGTTTAAAGATTAAACAAAGCTGGGCTGGAGAGACGGCTCCGCAGTTAAGGGCGCCTACTGCTCTTCCAGCGCCCCAAATTCAGGTCCCACCCACAAGGCGGCCCACAACCACCTGCAACTGTAGCAGCACAGGGTCCAAAACCCTCTTCTGGCAGAAGACTTCCATTTAAAACATGGACTTTTATATAAAACAAACAGACTTCCGCAAAAATATAAAACAAATCTTAAAAAAACAAACAGCTCAAAAATCAAAACATATCTATGAATTAGTTTACTTGTTTTTCTTATGTGGAAGAATTTCTTTTGGTAAATGAAACTGTTAGGTGGTTTTATGAGGCTGAGGGATGAGAAACCCAAACTAGCTAAACCAAGGGCCACAGTCCGGTCCCAAACAGGCACAGTTTGTTGTTAGTTATGTGTGCGTACTCTTTCTCTCTCTTCCCCCTCCCTCTCACTCCTTCTCTCTCTTTCCCTCTCTGAGGGTCTACACTATGTAACCCTGTCTAGCTTAGAACTCACTGTGTCGACTGAGCCAGAGCCAGCATTTACCTGGTTTCTTTGCTTAGTTTACTCTCACGGTTTCTTATGCTAACACTGTGTGACGTAGCATCAGTTCCAGTTCTCAAGATTTTGGTGTCAAACGGAGTTTCTTAGTCAGGCATAGCAGTGCACACCCAGAATCCATCCCCCGGGAGGCTGAAGTAGGGTGGCCTGAGTTCCAGGCCAGCGTGGGCTGCAGGGGAGGCCCTGTCTCAAGCACGGAATAAGAAAGTCATGAGTTCCCTGTGACAGCCGGCCACTCTGCTGACGTTCTGGGACGTCCTGAGTGAGGCAGGTATGGGGACTCTGCTGATGGTGCCCTGGCTGCCGCTTCCACCTTCTCCCGGCACCTCAACAAGACCAACATTCTCTGGACTTCTCTGCTCTTCTATAGGAGCTCCCTCCATTTTCCTAACCTGCCTCTCCCAGGCCATCGCCGGAGCTAGCATCCATCCCCTAAGCACCTATTGCTAAAACACCTGTCTGTCTCTACAAATGAACTGAGCAAATTACAGTACAGTCACCTGCTCGCCAATCTGTGTCCACACTAAGGACCTGAGGCCAGAACTGTCTCCCTGCCTGGCTTCCTAAAGCACTGCAGAGCCTGCTATGGAGGGCAAGGTCTGTCTGGGTGAAAGAAATGGAAAACAGTAGCTGGCAACTTGTGGCCAGCCTCTGACCTCCCTCTTCATTCTTCCACGGGAGGCCGATTATGACTTCTTTCTCCATCTGAGGCGGTTTTACCAGCTCTCCAGGATTCTGGAATAAATGGCTCCCCAAACCCAGTGTCCATCCATACCTTCCAGCGATCCCTTCTAAGTGGTCAGTGGTAACTTCATTGGCAGACCTAGCTCCTAGAGAACCCACAGTTGTTGTCTCTGTATTCCCGCCCCAAGTTGCATAATCTGTGTCTAAATTCACATTTTGTGTCCATCTTATTTGTTACTGCGTTTTGACTAGAAAGGCTTCCTCTCCATTGCCCAGTTCAGGCTCGTCCCCTACTCGTCCTTAGCACTTTATTAATGGCACCCCTTCCTAAGGACCCCATCTCTCTAGTCTTTCTCCCTTTCAGATCCAGATGTGAGTTCTGCATCTTCTGCACTCTGTCCCTACAATTTCCAGGCTTAGAGCCAGCTAAGCTGCCACCCAAGCCGGGACAGAGCCAGCCAGCACCAACCCAGGCAGAGCCGGAGCCGGTCTGCATCAGTCCCTCTGCAGCTGATAGGTGACCTCTGACCCACAAACTTCCTCACCGAGTGGAACTCCATCTTTTCTGTGTCCACATTTTGTTCCTCTCTAGTGCTGTTCAGGTTTTGGGAACCAATGCGTTATGGTCCACATTCAAAGACCCTTCTCAATGGGGCCATTCTTTCCTTACTGCAGGTATCTCCAAGCTGGTCTTAAGAGTGTGTGTCCCCAGCACTCAGGGGGCAGAGGCAGGGGGATCGATGTGAGCTGGTGGCAAGCCTGGTCTACATATTCAGTCAAGGATAGTCAAGGCTACACAGAGAAATCCTGTCTCAAAAAAAACAAAACAACAACCAAAGTGCGTCCACCAAAGTCCACCCTGAACTACCCTTCTCCGCCAACTTCTTCTCAACAGCCTGGCTGGCCTCCCATTTCCAGGTGCCTGTGGTCCCTAGCCTGTTGCCCAGGGAAGCACCTGAGCTGCTGTGGTGAGCCCCAGTGGTCCTCCCTTGAAGATGGACAGTGATGGGGTCCTGGTGGCTCTCCAGAGGAGGTAGATGGACGGTGATGGGGTTATCCTCCTGTGGAGCTGGGTAGAGATGGGGTCCCCGTGGTTCTCCTGAGGAGATGGACAGAGATGGGGACCCTGTGGTTCTCCTGAGGAGATGGACAGAGATGGGGTTGGGTGATTCTTCCAAGGAGATGGACAGAGATGGGGTTGGGTGATTCTTCCGAGGAGATGGACAGAGATGGGAGCCCTGTGGTTCTCCTGGGGAGATGGACAGAGATCGGGTCCCGGTGGTTCTCCTGGGGAGATGGACAGAGATGGGGCCCCGGTGGTTCTCCTGAGGAGATGGACAGAGATGGGGACCCAGTGGTTCTCCTGGGGAACTGGACAGTAATGGGGTCCCAGTGGTTCTCCCAAGAAGATGGACAGTGATGGGGTCCCGGTGGTTCTCCAGGGAGATGGACAGTGGCGGGCTCTAGTGGTCCTCGCAAGGTGGCGTTGGGGTGGTCCAGGCCGACCAGACCCCAGCAGGCGGGAGGCAGGGTGTGAAGGCCCGCCCTCTGCGCCTGACGCAAGGCATGCTGGGAGGCCGCACTTCCTCTCAGAGGCCTCTAGAAACCACAGGGCCAGGCAGCGCCCCCGCAGCCGGCAGGATGGCTGAGGGCAAGGCCGGCGGAGCTGCGGGCCTCTTCGCCAAGCAGGTGCAGAAGAAGTTCAGCAGGGCCCAGGAGAAGGTAGGCAGCCTGGCCTCACCAGGGGCCCGGGCCTGGGCCGAGGTGGAAGGGTCCTGTTGCCCCAGGACCGAGCGGGGAATGGGTGTGCGGGAACCCAGGGCGAGGCGGGAGAGCAGGGAGCAGCCGAGGAGACAGCTATTCCCGGGACCCCGGCAACCCTCAGCCTGACCCAGAAAGGACGACAGGAAGGAAGAAATGCTGGGGCGCAGCCACGTCGCAGGTCGTGTCCCAGCAGTAAAGCAGGGGTGACAGTTCCCAGGTGAGGAGCTGACCGGCGGGTGCTTGTCCCCAGAGTGAGTGACAGCAGGTGCCAGCTTGTCACCCCGCTCAGTTTGATTTGGGAGTTCACTGGGGACTAGAACCCGGGTGTTGCTTGAACTGGTACAAATGGAGCCAGGAGGACAGAAAGCTCAACCATCCTAGGATTATGTACTGAGTTCAAGACCAGCCTGAGCTACAAGATACTCTGTGTTGGGGTGGAGGGGAGCTGGGGTGCGCAGTAGCCAGCCCCTGCTTCTTAGACCGTTCCTTCTGCCTTGATGCTGCCTGAAGGCCTCCTTCCTTAACATGACCATTCAGACTGTGGGGACAGCTGGTGGGGTGCCACGGGCATTTGGGAGGCAGAGGCAGGCAGATGTCTGTGAGTTCAAGGTCAGGCTGGTTTACACAGTGAGTTCCACTAGACTACATAGAGACCTGTCCCGAAAAACGTGGAAAAAAGAAGAGAGAGAGATTATGGGGATGCTCTTCACACAGTCCATTTTGTTTCCTCGTTTGTTTTTTGAGGCAGGGTCTTACTGTGTAGCCTGGGCTAGCCTGGAGTACTGGAATACAAGATGGCCATCCCGCTGGGACCATAGGCACAAGCCTCCGTTCTCGGCACTCTTCACTTTTTTTTTTTTTTTTTTTTTTTTTTTTTTTTTTTTTTTTTTTTTTTGAGACAGAGTGTCCTGTACCCGAAACTCCCTATGAGCTTAAACTTCTGATCTCCCTGCCTTCTCTAGCTCTGGTTGCAGGCGTGTGCAGCTGTCACGACTCTTAGAGGCTGGATTTCAGCCTGGAGTGAGCAAACCCAGCGCGCCATCAGCTAACTCCACCCCAGCCCTCTCTCTACACATCTTAAAGGCATTTTGATTTTAGCCTCAGCCTCCATCTGCCAACACTCTAGAAACGTTGGTGTGCAGGAGGCGTGAGGTGAGGGAAAGGGCTCCATGATCTTTGAGGCAGGTAAATAGCACGGTTGAGAATGGGAAGGCTTGTCATACCTTCCAGAGGCCGCACACTGGCCAAGGAAGGACCCACAGGGGATTGCCAGGGGAAACCGGTGGGACTTACAGGTAGTTCTTGGGGTTAAATGGCCACAGTGGAAAGGCAGGGCTCTATACACCGCTGTCTTTTGAGGTCATGTGAAGGAGGAAAAACTTCGAGTGGCCAGCCTTTGTTACTTCACTTGCCGTGACTTTGCCTCTCTGGAGGCTAACTAGACACCTGACAGCTCTGGGTACGATGCTTGTGAGAAGGTCTAGCTATAAACGGGCCAGGGAGCTCACCCGGAGAAAGCAACGCTGTGGTTAAAGAATCACAAGGCAAAAAGCCCAAAAGACAAAAACAAGAGAACTCAAAACTTGACATCTTAAGGGCTGGCAGGCGTGGCTCGGTGTGAGACTAAGCTCCTACCCAGTGAGCAGAATCCTGGGTACTACAGAAGAGAAAGACGTTTGAATTAAAGCCCGGATGTGGCAGTTGCTTTTTGCCGTCTTCCCCTGGCCTGCTGCGAACATGCCCTGGGTTTAGAGCTTTGTCTCTCTTAAGCCTGGACTCCAAAACCTTCCGTGAATAGTGTTCTGTTCTTGGCTTCGGTCACTTATCTATAAAATGAGAAGATGGATATTTTCTATGAAACTCTGTCCACTAAGATCAGTTGGAAAGTTGGAGGGAACTCTGACCTTAAGAGTCAAGTGTTTCTCTCCTCCCCCGCCCCCGCCAGCACACTGTTCTTCCGTCCTGGACCCTGACAACACAGGGAAAGAGGCCAAAACTCTAGTCTGCCCCAAGGAATGCATCTCGGGTCAATGCAGAAAGCAAGATAGACTGGGAGTTTGTGAGTTCAGGGCTGGCCCCGGCAGACACTGGAGAAAGGGCCTAGAGAGAAGTTCAGGGGTCTTGGGAAGTTACTGAGGACAAGATAGAGTCTTCCAGCAGGGAAGACAGCATGGGCTGGTGAGAGGCTCAGCCACCAAACGCTCTCAAGGGAGTTCAGTTCCTCCCCTCAAGCTTTCCACACTCCTTGCCATCTGTGTGGCCCTGCAAAGCCGCTCCGGAAAGAGCTGATTGAGGAGGAAACACTTTACATGGGCTCGTCCTCCTCTAAAGGGGAAAGGTCTGCTGCCTGGTAAACACAATAGGAAAAAAATGTCCTTCGGGTTCTGGTTTCCAGTTCCCGCCGGCCGCAGCGTGAGCCCCGCTTTTACAGTACTCTTTTACAGTCCATCCTCACAGCCAGCCCGCTGCTTCCCTCTCTGATTTCAGCCAGCCGCTCACTTCTCCCAAACCACTCCTTTGTTGTTCCTTTCGCTGTTAACATTGATTCAGCTTCCATCCCCAGGAGTTTAACGTGGCAAATATTTGCAGTAGATTCTTTTGTTCAGGGGTCTGAGCTGGGCTCAGGGAACTAAGATGACTAAGGAGCTATTGTCTGCCGGAAGCTCCGAATCTACCGTTTGCCTAAGATACGCTAATCCGTGGGAACTCGGGGCACAAGGGTTGGGTGGGAGTGTTTCTGGTACTGGCCAGAGTTTGAGATGGGACCTGGGAACTGTGGTGGTTCCTCTGATAGGTGTGAGGGTACCTTTCAGCTGAGGAGGGCTATCATGGGCTTGGCCCGAGCCTGCCAATCACCAGACATGCAGCTGAAGCAGGAGAGTGGCGGGAGGAAGCCTGGAACAGTGTGCGGGGCTGATGGGGAGAGCCTCCAGTTAGTGTCTGCAGGCTTCTTCAGAGCCACAGCCACATTCTCCTTCAGCGTCTGCTCCTACTCACAGTACCCCAACCGACAGCACTGACTAAAACTCGGTCGGTGGGGTGGGGGCGGGACCTCTGGGGAGGGACTGTAGCCATCACATAAATAGGCTGTGGGGTTTGATTTGGTTTTAAAGGTGTGTCTGTCCCACTCTACTCTATGGAAAAGATAAAAGAACGGCGGGTTGACCCTGGGGCACATTCCACCCACATTCAGAACATCTGGCCACGCCCACCCTCGAGCCCTTGCCTCTGCTGTCCAAGCTTCTGAATTCTCACTTGTCAGCTGCCAGCCAGTTAGGACAGGGCTCTCTCGGGCGGGAGCTTTCGTCAGGATTCAGCCAGGTGTAGAGGCACACACCCGTAATCCTGGCTCTCAGCAAGCTGAAGCCGCAGAGTCGCTGCAACTGAGGCTGCGCTGGGCTGCGGTCGAGCAGACACACAGGTGTATTCTCTCAGCACACGTCAGTGGCATGCATGCACATCGTGTCCCTCAAGGGTCTAAGAACACCTCCCTGTTCACACCTGGTGCTGTGACAAGTGACTTTTGGGCTCGGAGAGATGACAGATATTACCAGGTTATCTCTGACCTTCCCTGCCAGGTCTCGTAAGCCAAGCAGGCCTGGGCCTGGTTGGTACCTGGACTCTCAGCAGAGGGTTCACACCCCACAAAGCCCTACCGCCTGGAGTGTTTGGGCTCTCATTGCGCTCTGACTTGACTCTGTCTTGACTTTTCTCTTTCCTCCCCCACCTGAGAAATGCTAAGGGGACGTGGGCAGCGGAAGGGAGGAGCAGAGAAAAGGAAGTCAGAACTGCCTACCGCAAGGTGGTTTTGCAACTTTCTGAGGAAGACCCATATTTGTTGCTGGGGAGAGGGGAGCCGGGGAGGATGGGGACTGCATATCCAGGGAGGGGTGGGGAGTGAGGTAGAGACCAAGAGAGAGAGATCTGGCTGAGGGAAGGAGCACCTGCCATTGACTGGCCAGGCGGCTGGGCGTGGCGCACGCCTTTAATCCCGGCACTCTAGAAGTAGAGGCAGGCAGCTCTCTGTGAGTTGGAGGTCAACCTGGTCAGCGTAGTGAATTCTGGGACAGTCAGAGCCACACAGTGAGACCCTGTCTCAAGAAGATGAAAACCTAGACTCAGCAGGCAGCTAGAGAAAGGAGCTTTGTGTACACAGTCTTTTTTAGTAGCTCAGTGTCGACCAAAATATCTTTCACTGTGTAGCCCTGGGCAGAAATACCTTAACAGCCAGTCAGCAGAAAGGCCAAGGTGTGAGTTAATCTTGATCTTCATCACCACAGAGAGAGCTTGAGACTTGAGACGGAGAGACACTGACCCACTCCTCTGTCTCAGAAGACTGCAGTCAAGTGAGTCAGCATCCACACAGAGCCTCCCCTGGTCCTGTGCACACACACACACACACACACACACACACACACAGACACAAACACACACATATACACATGCGCCCAGGCACACTGGTGTGTGACTCAGCTTCCTCCATAATGAGGCTCTGCTCCTGGCTTGTTGGTCAGGACTGCTCTTTGCAATCTCGCTCTGTCCTGTGCAGGTGCACAGCCGGCGTCCCCTCCTTCCTGTTAAAGTGACAGGTGGCCTCCTGCTGGATTCTCAGCTCTAGTAAGAGAAGCAGAGGCTGAGAAGGAAACAGAGGCAGGTGAAGACAAAGAGAAGTTATGAATGCACTGAGGAATGAGTGAGCTTGAGCAACAGGGAGAAGCAGATAGAGACTGGTGAGAGAGGAATGGAGTTTGAACCTGTTTGTTTGTTTTTTGTTTGTTTGTTTTATGCTTGCACAGCAGGCAAAGTAGGGAAGTCACTAGGATGAAGTCCAGAAAGAGAATGGAGTCTGTAACAGTTAGCAGTGGGGCTTAGTTAGGAATTTGTTTTAAGTTATAGAGGAGGACTATGGAGATCGGAAGCCCTCAGATCCGTAGGGCGTCCCTCCTTGCCACAGTGACCTAATGGAAACTGTCACCTAGTGGACGCACCGTGGGAGTCTAATAAACGGGAGCCGAGGAGTGGAGAGTACTAGAGAACTGAAGCAGGGCTGTCAGGACCAAGGGCAGTGGGAAGGAGCCAGCCCAGGCCGGGCTAAGGCTGTGGATGAAACCAGAAAGAGCAGGTGTTTCCAGAGTGGCAGGCAGGGCTGGGTGAGCAGGGAGAGGCGGAAGTTGGAAGCAGCGCTTAAGATCCTACTTTGGGCCTAGGGAGGTGTCCTTCCCTAGGGTTTTCAGTAGAAGATTTGCTCCTGTCCTGTTTCACATGTCTGGCTATGCGTGTGTGCGTGTCTGTACATATGTACATATGCCACGTCATACATATGATGTCAGAGGACATCTTTGGGAGTCAGTTTTCTCCTTCCACTGTATGGGTTTCGGGGATCCAGCTCAGCCGTCCTAGGCCTGATGGCAAGCGCCTTTACCGCCAGCACCTCCCAGCCCCTGTGACAGCGAACATCAGAACTGACACTGATGTGGTCAGCTCTCTCCGTTCTTAGGTGATGGAAAATAGATTCATTCATCTCCAGCTGGGCAGAGGCAGGCGATCTCTGTGAGTTTGAGGCCAGCCTGCTCTACAAAGACAGTCTAGGACAGCCAAGGCTACACAGAGAAACCCTGTCTTGAAATACCAAAAAAAAGAAAAAAGAAAAAGAAAAAAAATCACTTTACGAGCTGGGTGGTGGCACACATGTTTAATCCCAGCACTCCAGAGGCAGGTGGATCTCTGAGTTCAAGGCTAGCCTGGTCTACAAAGTGAGTTTCAGGACAGCCAAGATCACACAGAGAAACAAACAAACAAAATTTGCTTTAAGGCTAGAGGTGAATTCAGTAGAAGAGTGTGTGTCTAGATTGTACAAGGCTCTGGGCCCAACCTAACCAAACATGCAAAACAGTCTTCAAATAATGAAATTCCAAAGAGAGGGAGATGGGGGGAGAGGAAAGGGACAGAGAGGGGAGTGGGGGAGGAGCAGCTGTGGAGGAGAATGGACAGACAGGCCCTCCAACACAGACATACCCCCAGGTACCCCAGTTTGAGAAGAACCTCGACTCTGTTGAGCTGAGGGGAGCCTGGACCTTTAGTCACACCCAGGCCCAGCGAATCAGGGGCTTGGCTGTAATCACACGTGCTTTTCTGTCTTTTATCCCAGGTTCTGCAGAAATTGGGGAAAGCTGTCGAAACCAAAGATGAGCGATTTGAACAAAGCGCCAGCAACTTCTACCAGCAACAGGTAGGTAGTGTGGGCAGGGAGGGGGGGCGTGAGGGGGCCTGAGTGTAGAACATTCCGGAGCAGCGTTCTGTGAGCTGCTGCTTGCGCTGTCCTCTGAGAAACAGAGGCGCTCACTCGCCCTGTCGCTGTTCCCGGTTCAGAGCACAGGGCAGGGTTCTTCTCTCTGCATGTATTGCCGTGTGTGCAGCAGGAGGGCCCTGGCGGCCAGGCAGGTGCCCGTTCTGTGACCTCGGCGTGGAGACTGCTGAGGCCCTTTATAATACACAAGCTGTTTGCATCAACAAATAATCTCATTGCAGTGCGGTCCCGGCACTACCGAGGGTGGGGTCGAATGTTCGGGCTGCTGGCCCACGCCGGTCACCCGCAGCCGCCACGCTGCCCTGCCCCATCCATTTCCATGTGAAACATACTCATGACGACACATCAGAAAAAAAGACAACAGGCATGGTCACTCATGCTTATAATCTGGGCCCTGGGGAGGTTGAAGCAGGAAGGTCACAAGTTCAAGGCCAGGCTGAGATACAAAAATCACTAAGTCAAGCTGGGAGATGGCCCAGCAGGTAAAGGCGCTTGCCTTTACCCTTATTCTGACAACCTGACTCAACCCAGAGCCCACAGGGTGGAGGCAGAAAACTGATTCCTGTAAGTTGACCTTTGATCTCCATATTTTCCTTGGTCCTGGCCTGCCCACATGTACACACACACACACACACACACACACACACACACACACACACGTAAAATCAGAGAAAAAGAAATTCTTTACAAGAGTGATTCTGTAAGCTATTTCCATTCTTGTTTCATATCCTACAGTTACAGTTTCTGTGTGTATAAGACCAACATATGTCCATTACAGTTACGTGTGAGGCATCTAAAAAGATAATTTCGGGATGGTTTTCTCTTGGGATTGGATTGTGACAAAATCTTACCTGTTTGACTCTGGTTGGCCCAGTACTTGCTGTATAACCGGGATGAGTGCTCCGGAGAGCAGCCAGTGCTCTTAGCCCCCGAGCCTCGACTAAGCCCCTCACTGAAGCTTTTTGCTGAGAGCATTGCTTGTCCACAGTCACCCACAGTTTACCTTTGCTGGCTGTTTTGTTGTTTCTGTTTCATTTTTTTTAAGATTTATTTATTATATATAAATTTCTGTCTGTATGCACACCTGCATGCCCGGAGAGGGCGCCAGATCTCACTATAACTGGTTGTGAGCCACTATATGGTTGCTGGGAATTGAACTCAGGTTCTCTGGAAGAGCAGCCAGTGCTCTTAACCTCTGAGCCATCTCTCCATGTTTTTTTGAGACAGTGTCTCTCCATAGCACTGACTGTCCTGGCCCACCTCACACTCAGAAATCTGCCTACCTCTGCCTCCCTAGGGCTGGGATTACAGGCAGCGGCACTGCCCGGCTTTTTGCTGTTGACTGTGTTGAATTTCCTGTAGCTGTATAACTTAGAAGATGTAGCTTTTCATTTTTGTTTGATGGCATCATTAAAGTCTACCGTGAGGAGCCATGTCATGTCTGCTGTTCCCTTTGAGTAGCTGTGAGCCCTCATTGGCAAAGGAATCAGCTCTTTATGTCTCAGCGTTTAAGCTGTGTTCTTTGACAGTGCCCCACATGAACGTAATGTGTTTGGATCATTTTCATCCCCTCCCCCATCCCAGCTCTACAGTGACAGTCCCCTCTGGCTGAAAGACAGACCTCCCCGCTCAGGTTGAGGTCCCGCCGCTTGCCCTGGGTGCTCTCCCTAGTTTTGGAGACAGTATCTCATGAAGCCCGCGCTGGCCTTGAACTCGCTGTGTAGCTGAGCATGGCCTCAGGCATCGCTCCTCTGGCTCCACCTCCCCAACTCTGGGATTACAGTGTGCACCACCACAGCCAGTGTGTGTGGTAGTGGGCTCACCCTGGCCTCTGAGCACACTGGGCGGGCGCCCCGCCAGCCCTGTCTCCATCTTGGTTGTGAGGCTCTCCCCGCCTTGCCCTGGCCTCCTCAGAAGACTGGGAGAGGCGCTGGCCTCAGGAAGGCTTCGGTCTCTCCCTCGCGGTGACGGCCCTTGCTCGCGGTTGGCGGCGCATCTACTACTGTTCTGCGGTGTCTGGGGCCTCCCAGGTGGGCCTCCCAGGTGGGCCTCCCAGGTGGGCCTCCCTGTCCTTGTCTCCCAGTCGCTCTGCATGGTGACTGCTCTGGTCCAGCTTGCACAGAGAACGGCTCGTTAGCCGAGGGGGGGGGCTGTTTGTGTAAGGGGTGGCAAGAGCTAACTCAGGCTCTTTATGGCAGTGCCAAGGAGCTGGCAGAGTTTCAGAGGGCAGGAGTGAGGAAGTCAGCAGAGGCAGAGATAGAAGTGCTCTCCTGCCCTTCCAGACAGGGAGCCGGAGCCGGAGAGCGGGGAGAAACTTGCTGGTTGAGAATAGAGCCAGGATGCCAGAGGGCCGGACGTACCAGTGACAGCCGGATGTGGTAGGCTTGTCTGCCGGGAAGGAAGGTCCGGGATGAGCTAGCCTAGGATCCCAGGGGAGGGTGGGCAGGTGTGAGAAAGGAATACAGATGCCCAGCCCTGTTCCTTCATCCCGACGCCCACGCCTCCACACCCATGTCCTCTCCCACACCTTCCTCAGAAGAAAGGACAGGGCATAAAGGAAGAGTGGCAAATGGGGCTGCAGAGATGGCCCAGGGTTAGGAGCAGGAACGGCTCTGAGATGGCCCAGGGTTAGGAGCAGGAACGGCTCTGAGATGGCCCAGAGTTAGGAGCAGGAACGGCTCTGAACCCCAGGTTCTCTTCCAGCACTCGCGCCCAGCGGCTCACAACGGTCAACCTGCCACCGTCATGTGAGTTCATGGGGAGGACAGACAGGGTGATAGCCTGCAGCCTGGGTGCTGTGGACCAGACTCTGGGAGAGCAGCGCATGCTCTTACTGCAAGCCCCAGCCACCCGTCAGCCCAGCTAGCTGCTCTCACCCTGCGGGGTTCTGTGCGAGTTTCCACGATGAGGTGAAAACTTAAGTCCGTACTATTTTCTTTCAAGAAAGAATTTAAATCTTCACTAATTATTAAAAGGATCTCATTTGTACTTATGTGGATGCGTGTGTGTCTGTGAGTACCTACATGCATGTGCGGGTACCAGGGCGGCATGTTGGGCTTCTGAAGCCAGAGTCACACGTGGCTGTGCTGGGACCTGAGCTCTGGTCCTCTGCAGGAGCAGCCGCGGCTCCTGCATCCTGAGCCGTCTCTGCAGCCCTCTTACTTAGTGTTGCAGCCTCAGCCTTTCCAAAGCTCCTGAAGTCTTGGGTACGGGGTGGGCGGGGCGGCTGGGTGTGGGAGGGCACTCAGCCCTTCCAGTGAGCAAGGTCTCGGTCACAGCAAGCATTTCCTGGGTTCTGTGTAATATCTTCAGGTTTCAGACACTTTGTTGACCCGTCTGGTCAGTTGTGGCCACATGTGTGACATGGCACATGGCACGCCCACACTCACACACACGCTCACACTCACACACACGCTCACACACACATCACATGTACACTCACACACATCACACGCCCACACTCACACATCGCACACACACGCTCACACACACGCTCACACACACATCACATGTACACTCACACATCGCACACCCACACTCACACATACGCTCACACACACATCACATGTACACTCACACATCGCACACACACGCTCACACACACATCACATGTACACTCACACATCGCACACACACGCTCACACACACGCTCACACACACATCACACGTACACTCACACATGACATGTGTTGTTGGTTATTAATATTTACTATAGGTCTATCTTTTAGTTAAGCAGCGGTTATTCCTAAACCAGCTGTATATTCAAATCACCACACAGAGACTGGGATTTATGTAATTAACCCAGAGCACAGTGCTGGGCAACAGTTACTCCATCCCAAACCTCCAAGCCCGCATAGCTTCCTCCCATTCAGATTTCCCGCATTATACTTGCTTTTGTCATATCTTAGGTCTCGTTCACCTCTCCTCCTGGTTCCAGGTCCTCTCCTGCCCTCCTCTCCTCTCTGAGGCCTCCCACTCACTTCCTTCTCCTCCCCTCCGGACAAGGATGCCCCACGCTATTCTCTCCATTGCTCAGCATTGGCTGGTTGTGTTACTGACAAATGGTGCCATGTCTACCAGGAGACAGGTGATGCTTAGAATAAATATGACAAGGCAATGTCCAGATCGAAACCAGATAGCCGGGGAGAGAAATCAGCTTTTGAATGAAAAGAGTGAATTGTGTACATTCCACAAGAACATACCAACAACTCATACATCATGCCCACATCACATGCTCACACTCACACACATGATAATTTTTTAAAACTTCCTGGCTGGAGAGATGGCTCAGCAGTGCAGCTGCTTGTTGCTGCTCTAGCTTTGGCCCCCAGCACCAGATGGCCGCGCACAAACCTCTGTAACACCAGTGCTGGGGGCTCCAGCACCGTCTTCTGGCATCTTTGGACATAGACAGTTACACAAACATACAGGCAGCCAAACGCTAATAGGCATAGAACGTAGTTAAGAGTCTGTGCAGGCGCACAGAAGGGCGGCCTCCCAGCCGGCTGGTTAGCATAAGGAAGCAGCGCCTGGGGCAGGGCTTGCTGGTGTCTGTGTCCTGGGGGAACTTAAGAGCCGAGAAAAGGGATGGCTCAGAGATGGCTCAGTGGTTAGGGGTCTGTACTAGAGGAAGGACGGGTCCAAGTGAAGGAAGAGTGCAGGGGAGGCAGGGACGTCTGGACCTTCGCACGGACCTTCCTGGTGTGGGGGTGGCAGCAAGGGCCACCTGCAGGGCTCGGGAACAGGCTCCTGTGCACTGGGAGAGAAACTCAGCAGAGGGCAGAAAGTGTGCCGAGTGGGGCTTGCACTGTCCCAGCTCACTGACTCCAGAGAACCAGCTGGCAGCTTGTTGGCAGAGGAAGGGCAGCTCTGCTCTCTGAGAGCACTGGAAGAGATCCGGGTGTGAGCTGTACCAGGGCCGACCTCTGCCGGGGTCCTCAGGTAGCTGGAGCTGGTCATCGAAGCTGCCTTTCCTTTTCAGGCAGAAGGCTACAAGCTGTACAAGGACTTGAAGAACTTCCTTAGTGCAGTCAAAGGTGGGTACTCGGCCCCGAAGGACGCCGGGACACAGGGCCTGGGTGGGCTGAGGCAGGTGGACCAGGCAGGCCCAGGGTTCTCCATGCTCAGTGCTCTTAAGCCCTGAAACTCTGGGAGCCTCGGGGGACTTCCTAGGCCAGCCCCACCCGGCTTCCGCACTGCCCTGTCGCCTGTGTGGGGGCTCCGGATGGTAGCACTGAGCTCTCTTCTTCCAGTGATGCACGAAAGCTCAAAGCGATTGTCTGAGACCCTTCAGGAGGTCTACAGCAGCGACTGGGATGGGCATGAGGAGCTGAAGGCCATCGTGGGGGTAAGGGCAGCTTGGGCATGGCATGGCCTAGGACGCACTCCCAGAGCCTGGGTCTGAGCCTAGGAAGTGGCTGCGGCCGGTCCTCTCTTCCCTCTGTAAGATGGCGGAACCTCTCCTCCATGAAGATGGGCTGCTTTTGAAAAGTAACCTCGGGCAGCTGGGCGCCCCCTCTCGCCCAGGCCCTACGCCCTGGGGTCGGGGGCCTGGGCACCCCAATGCAGGTCCTTGGAGCAGAGCCCATCCCTGCCCCTGAGACGCTGGCATGCTGGTCCAAGTACAGTGCAGCAGAAGCACCGTCTGCAGAGAGCTCGGGTTTCCCTGGAGGGCTGTGGGCAGCCGGCCGCTCACTCCCTGCCTGGACCCCACAGAACAATGATCTCCTTTGGGAAGACTATGAAGAGAAACTGGCCGACCAGGCTGTGAGGACCATGGAAAACTATGTGTCCCAGTTCAGCGAGATAAAGGTAACTCAGTCTACAGAGGGGGCGAGGGGGAGACAGATGGTCAGACAGTCCACGCCAGCTAGAGACCACGTGGGGTTGACACTGTAAGAAGCACCTGAGCCCACGGTGGGATGTGGAGTCGGGAGAGTTAGAGGACAGTCGGGTGGCCGGTGGTATGACAGTGTGCTTACAGTTAAGTTTCAGTGAATTTCACTGAGCCAGACCCAGCCAGGCCCAGGCATCGAGCTCCTTTTACTAAGGTTTATTTTATTATATTCAATTATGTGTATGTATGTATGCAAGTATATTGTGTGTGTAAGCATGTTGTCTGTAGGTATGTGGGTATGTTGTATGTGTGTGGGTATGTTGTATGTACATATGAGCACATGGGCACAGTGCCCTGGAGGTCAGAGATTGGGTCCCCTGGCGCTGGAGTTGCCCATGGTTGCGAGCCCCCTGGCGTGGGCGCTGGGAATGGCCTTGGGCCGTCTGAAGGAACAGGTGCTGTCTTCACTGCGGAGGCGTCGCCAGCGCCAAAGCAGTGTCTCTCTCTCTCTCTTCTTTTTAGACGGGATCTTGTGGTGCACTCCAGGCTGGTCTGAAACTTGCTGTCCTTCTGCCTCAGCCTTCCAGCTGCGGAGGCTGTGGGTGTGTTACCAGGCCTGGCTGAGGCATCCTCAGCTGCGGAGGCTGTGGGTGTGTTACCAGGCCTGGCTGAGGCATCCTCCTTAGACGTGAGAAACAGCTGGCCGAGCTAGGCTGCCCACTGTACGGGAGACTTAGAGGCCCAGACGCTTCATACTGCCTTCAAGCCCCCGAAATTCTGTCAGCAGCGGGAATCCAGCCCGTCCCATGCTGCTCAAAGAGCAGAGCCAAAATTACAATTTTTAATTATTTTAAAATATTTTTGTTTGTGTGTGCACACATGGGTGTGTGCGTGTGTGTGCCCCCGTGTGTGTGTGTGTCCACAAGTGTGTGTGCCCCCGTGTGTGCGTGTGTGTGTGTGTGTGTGCCCCCGTGTGTGCGTGTGTGTGCGTGTGTGTGTGCGTGTGCGTGTGTGTGTGTGTACCCACAAAAGCCAGAAGGCAGCCTTGGATGCCCTGGTGCCGGGAGCCACTTTGGGTCCTGTGAGCCCAGTGTTTGCTTTTACCTGCTGCGCTTCTCCTCACACACCCTAAGGAGATTGCTACACGCCGGGTGTGGTGGCGCACGCCTGCGACCCCAGCACTCAGGGAGGCGGAGGCAGGTGGACCTACAGTTTGAGGCCAGCCTGGTCTACACAGAGAGACCCTGTCTCGAAAAACCCAAACAAAAAAATATTACATTAATTAATATATTTGCTGTGTGTGTTTGTGCATGCCATAGCGTGTGTGCCACAATGCGTGTACATTTGTGTGTGCCACAGTGTGCGTGTGTGTGTGCCAGTGTGTGTGCCAGTGTGTGTGCCAGTGTGTGTGCCAGTGTGTGTGTACTACAGTGTGTGTGCCAGTGTGTGTGCCAGTGTGTGTGTACTACAGGCGTGTGTGCCAGTGTGTGTGTACTACAGTGTGTGTGCCAGTGTGTGTGTACTACAGGCATGTGCGCCAGTGTGTGTGCCCGTGTGTGTGCCAGTGTGTGTGCCAGTTTGTCCGCCACAGTGTGTGCCCGTGTGTGTGCCACAGTGTGTGCCATAGTGTGTGTGCCACAGCGTGTGTGTGCCACAGCATGAATGTGTTCGTGCGTGCGTGCGTGAGTGCAGCCCAGAGCAGCAGTGCAGGCCAGAAGCCAGCTCTCGGGAGTCAGCGCTCTGGCCTACCACCCTGCCTCGGATCGCACCTCGGCCGTCAGGGCTGCCGCAAGCACCGGCAGATACTGACTCGTCCGCTCAGAAGCAGGTTTTGTCCCTTCAGCTGAGCTCTGCTGGGCTGTGCTGACTGCAGAGGAGGAGGAAGCTGACGCAAGCTTCCAAAGCCATGTCAGCGACGGAGCTCAAGCTCTCCAATAGTAAGGCGAATGCGCTGACGCTGACGGTGTTCTGTTCCGTCAGGCAGAGCTGGAGGCTCCTTACTGCCTGCTCGCTGGTTGAGGCAGGTCTAACTCTGGAGCTGTCTCGGTCGGGCTTACTGTTGCTGTGACGATCCACCATGACCAAAAGCAACCGGGGAGGAAGGGGTTGTTCGGCTCACACTTCCACAGCACTGTCCATCACTGAGGAAGCCAGGACAGGAATGCAAACGTGGGATCCTGGAGGCCGTGGAGGGGGCGACTCACTGGCTCGCTCCCCAGGGCTGGCTCAGCCTGCTTTCTCACAGAACCCAGGAGCACCAGCCCAGGGATGGCTCCACCCACCCTGGGCTGGGCCTCCCCCACTAACTGAGAAAATGCCCTACAGCTGGATCTCATGGAGGTGTTTCCTCACTTTTGGTTCCTCCTTTCAGATGACTATCTTGTATCAAGTTGACCTAAATTTAGCCAGCACAGTAGCCAGGCTGGCCTTGAACTCACAGAGGTCTCCCTGATTCTGCCTCCTAGTGCTGGGGTTACAGTCCTGTGCCGCCACACCAAGCCTCCTCCTCCTCCTTAGTAAAGACTCGTTTATTTATTGTGTCTGTCCGTCTGTGTCTCTGTGTGTTTGTGTCTGAGTATGTGTGCAGGTGCCTGCACCCTAGAAAAAGGTGTCAGATATCCTACAACTGGAGTTAGAGGTGGTTGTGAGCCACCGGATGTGGGTGCTGGGAACTGAACCCAGGTCCTCTACAGGAGCTCTTACCACTGAGCCATCCTTCCTGCCCCTTGGCTTACCTTTTTTTAAAGATTTTATTTATTTATTTATTTCATATATATGAGTGATCTTTCTGCTTGTACACCTGCACGCCAGAAGAGGGCACCAGATCTCACTATACATGGTTATAAGCCACCATGTGGTTGCTGGGAATTGAACTCAGGACCTCTGGGAAGAGCAGACAGTGCTCTTAACCACTGAGCCATTCTTCCTGCCCCCTGGGTTACTTTTGATCTTGTGAAGTGCAGAGGCACTTCACACTTCATGCCAGCCCATAACAGAACAGGAGGGAGGAAGCTGTGGAAGGCTGTCCTCGAACTCACGAGATCCACCTGCCTCTGCCTCCCCAAGTGCTGGGATCATGGGCATGTACCACCATGCCCAGGTTAGCTGAACAGTTTATAATAGGCTTGTGGAAAATGTAAATCTTAATCCAGGTTTCTCTACCAAGAACCCCTGTTTTCCCGAGATCTTGAGGGACCCTGGAGTGCACCAGCTTATCAGAAGGCAGAACTGAGTGGTAGAGTCCCAGAGGCTTTTTCTTCGCTTGGTCCTCCGTTACACTTCCTGGCTGGACAGTGAGTTGGATCTCCACCGTTTCTCTTCACCCTGGGCTAGGAGAGAATTGCCAAGCGGGGCCGGAAACTGGTGGACTACGATAGTGCCCGGCACCACCTGGAGGCTGTGCAGAACGCCAAGAAGAGAGATGAGGCCAAGACTGCCAAGGTAAACACCAGCGGGAAGCCGCCTCATCCCCATCCTCCACAGTGGTTGCAGGTAGCTGGGCCAAGTGCAGGAATGGGTGGGTTTCCCTGGCAGCCAGAGCGCAGCATCCTGTGGCTGAGGAGGATGTGGGTCTGTGCAGGGGAGGGAGGCAGCTGGGGTGAGGGGCAGCCTCCAGCCCCTGGTTTACCATCTAGGCAGAAGAAGACTTCAGCAAGGCCCAGGGCGTGTTCGAGGATCTGAACCGCGAGCTTCTGGAGGAGCTGCCTGTGCTATATAACAGGTAACGGCGCTCAGGATGGGCGGCCACTGGGCCACCAGCGTCTGGGTGTTAGCTCCTCCTGGAAGGAGCCCTGGCCTGGCGTGGGGTGTAGCCTCAGCCACTAATTTGCTGTGTGATGAAGCAAGCATCCTTATCTCTCTAGACTTGTGACACAATAACCATCCTTGCTCCACCAGCTTTTCTGGGTTTGAGGACCAGGTGTGTGCTGGGTAGAAGAGCTGTCTTCCGGAAAGGGCCACGTCATCCACATGCTGATGGCTTCATTGTACAAGTGTGTGTGCTTTAAAGCATCAGGGTTCATAAGCATCTACATTTACATGGACCGTGGGGTGGGGACCCGCACGAACAAACGTGCCAGCGCCTCATGGTAAATGCGTGCTTTAGATTTAACGCTTCCGCAGTGGAGGAGAAACTGCGGAAGGAGGGACTGAAATGTCACTCATGTCTTACTGTCATCACGCCAAGTATGCTCTCATAAGATCGCAGTAGGAGTATTGCACTGCTTACAGTTTGCCCTCCTGTAGTCTTCCTGTGAGTCAGAGTCTAGCTGTGCAGCCGAGGCTGGCCTTAGACTTTCAGTCTTCCTGTTTGGACCTCCCAAGAGCCAGTGGTACAGGCATGACCGCCATGCTAAGCTATAATGACAAAGTTTTTGATTGACTGCATTTACCTGTCTCCAGATTTAAACAGAGTGGAAATGCATAGTTTCTTTCAGTGTGCTATGGGTTGCCCACCAGGAATGACCACTCGGACACAGTTTTTAGCCAACTGAAAGCCTTTATTCCAGCTGTCTTGGACCATACCCACGTATTTAGGGAACCAGAGGTTACCCCAGGGGTCCAGGATGTGGGGTTATTGAAGGCAGAAACCACATTCTGGCATCTTGCTCAGCAGGAGCTGGGTGGAGTTTGTAGAAGCACACAGTTTAACAGAAGCCAAGATAAGCAATTAGCTGCAGGGACTTCACACCAACAGACAAATCAGCCTGGGCATCTTGACCTCAGGCCTAGGCTGGAGTGGAGTAAATTTCCTTGATGGGCTTCTATACAGGAGATAAAATTCTAGTTAAACCTGAAATGGCCTCAGCAAGAATACAAGATGGAGGAGCCTTTGCAGGTCTTTCCCTGTCACAGATACAACCTTTCCTGACTCACTTGTAGGAATTCTGTCCAGATACACACACACGGAAGTCATGTGCTGCTGAAAGAGGAAGAATGACTACTCAGAGTAATTAGTTATGCAGCTTTATATTCTTATGGCTTTTAAAACTCTGCAAAGCAGCTTCTATATTAACACCTCAATCGCCAAAACGTGATAACTTTATATCCACCTGCATCTGGCTCCCAAGTGCTGGCGCGTGCCACCGCACCTAGCCAGGTAACTTTTTGAAACTAGAGTTAGTCTGAACTTGAGTGTCAGCCTGGGCTAATACCATCTCACTTTTCTGCACTCCCGGCCCAGCTGCGTTGAGAACATCCACATCTGCGTTCCAGAACATCCACATCCAGGACGCCTTTCTCTGGAGAGCCTTGTTGGCGGATGGCTGGGCTCATTACCACTCTTAACCTGTGCTTGTTTCCTCGTAGTCGTATTGGCTGTTATGTGACTGTCTTCCAAAACATTTCCAGCTTGAGAGACGTGTTCTACAGGGAGATGAGTGAGGTGAGAAATAGCGGCCAATGGAGGCTCCTCAGTGGCATTCTCTAGTAAATCGTGGTAGGCCTCATTTACACTGTGTCTTTAGAGACTCATATTGGGATCACAGAGTTTGGCTTTTTATCAACTAATGAAATGACAGCTCTTGTCTGACTGTTAAAATGCACATCTCCTGCGTGAATATGATCGGGCCTGGGGAAGGGAACGGACGTGGGGACAAAGAGGTGACATTGAAGTGTTGCTGGAGTTGAGAGGGTGTCATTCAAGCAGAGGTCAGGTTTTCCAGTGAATGCTTTTGAGTGGGGCCAGTGTCCGTGACAGGCAGGCACAGAGCAGGATCTTGTGAAGGCTTTTCTGTTGTGACATTACAGAATGCCCTGCTGCTTCCATGTTATAGTCACAGACAGCGATAATCCCTCCCCACAGTTTATTGCTGACTAGGGTTTGTTTGTTTAATTATTGTTAACTTGAGTTGTCACTCCCTGGATCACCTGAGAAAAGTGAAGCTGCCCTCAGGGCACAGTGGGCCGGGGAGGAAGGGAGCAGGGTGGAGCCGGGTGTGGTAGGCCTACAGAGAGGAGGGGGTTTCCGTCATGGTAGGACCAGGGGGTTTTGACTGGGAAAGCTGCCTGGGGAGGGAGTGGCCTCAGCTCCCTTTTAGCTGGCCTTTCTCCTTCCTGGCTCTAGCTGAACCACAGTCTCTATGAAGTGATGAGCAAATTGGAGAAGCAGCATTCCAACAAGGTCTTTGTGGTGAAAGGACTGTCCAGGTGAGCCTGTCTGGGGCTGTGTCTCGTGTGCCCTGTGTGGACACACTCAGCATCTCCATTCCTACCCATGAGGCCTTGCCTGATGCTCTTGCTCCTTGCTCTTTACTATCTGTCCCCATGGAAACTTTTTTCTTTTCTAAGATTTATTACTTATACAGTGTTCTGCTATACACACCAGAAGAGGGCACCAGATCTCACTATCGATGGCTGTGAGCCACCTTGTGGTTGCTGAGACTTGAACTCAGGGCCTTTGGAAGAGCAGTTAGTGCTCTTAACCTCTGAGCCATCTCTCCAGCCCCAACTTTTTTCTTTTCATCAGATATTTCAGATCTAACTGAAGATGAAGAATAAATCACAAGTAAGCATATACCAAACCCAGGAGAGCAGCTGCTGCCATCAGGGTCAGTGGCACACTCCTGGCACTCGGGAGCCTAAGCCAGGATAGTCAGACATTTGAGGCCACCCAGGCCACGATACACAGGGAGTTCTGAGCGAGACCCTGTCGGGGGAGGGGTGGAAGGAGGACTGCTGTAAACAGAGCTGGTGTCCAGGGCCTTCCTCGCTTACCGTGTTCCTGTCCCACCAAAGGACACACTGGCTTCCGCACCGAACTCGCTGTTCCTATGCACGGCCTACTCATATACACTTATTTACACACATAAGATACTGTTTTGCACATTTTTTAAATTTTTATTACATTTACGTGTGAGAGAGAGTGAGCACGCGCACGTGAGAGAGCACAGAGGTACATGTGGAGGTCAGAGGACAACTTGTGGAGATTGGTTCTCTCCCCCCACTGGGCCTCTGGGGCGGGGGGGGGGGGGCTGTCCTGCAGCGCAGCCTCTTTTGTGCGCTGTTTGAGGTACTTGTCCTGCTCCTGCACATCCGTGGCTTTGCCCTGGCCCGCGCTTTGCCATCCGCCCTGCTAACTGCCGTCGGGGACTTTCCAGCTTTTGGCCACTGCAAGTGCTTGTGCTACACACGCACCCTGGAGCCTGCGGGGCTCCAGTTGTGTCTGTAGCAGTGTAGACGCCTCCGAAGACCCTGTCCTCAGCACAGAAGCTCCGTTTGTCCTTCCTCCAGCACTGAAAGCCAGTTCCCTGTCCGTCCGTTCCCCCGAATTTATGTAGTTCGCCTGGCGCCCCAGATGCTGAAGAGATTTCAGCTCTGCTCTTGCTTGAGAGTCTAAACTCACTGACTGCTAGAGGAAGCCGAATAGCGGACACCGGGCCCCCGCAGGGTGGGACCACGTGTCTGTCCCCTCGCCCGCAGGTTCTTGCTCAAGTCTCTCTTTCTTTACATACTTTCAAACTCTGAGACTGTGCTGAGGTGAGAATTGGCGGCTTCCCTGGCAGTCGAGCCCCCGCCGCGAAGCGCTGCCGGCCCCGTGCGGGCATTTAGGCGTGTGACCCTTCCTTCCCTAGCGGCAGCCGGCGCTCCTTGGTCATCTCGGCGCCGGTTGGAGCCTCCATCCTGGTGGCCTCCCCGACCAGCCCCTCGGCGCGCTCCGCGGCCAGCGAGAGCGAGTCCCTCTCGGCGGCGGCGGCGGCGGCGGGCGAGGACGCGACCTCGGACGCGGCCGGGGAGGACAGCAGCGGGAGCAGGGAGTCCCTACAGGACGAGGCGGCGGGGGCCGGGCCGTCGGAGGAGGACGAGCCGCCGGCGAGCAACGGCCCCGCGCCGGCCGCGACCCCCGGCGAAGGGCGCACCGAGGCGGAGCGGCCCGGCCCCGCAGAGGGGCCAGAGGCGGCCCCCCAGCCCCGCGCCGCCAGCGAGGGAGCCGCCGCCCACCGGCCGCCCACGCCGCCCAGCAGGCCGCCGCCTCCCAAAGCCCCCGCCAGCCCCGGGCTCGCCGCGGGCAGTGGGCCCCGCAGCCCTCCGGCGGCCCCCTCGGAGGCCGCTTCCAGTCCAGACCCCCCGGAGAGGCCGCCGAGGGCGCAGGAGGCCCCGGAGGAGGAAGATGCTGGCAGCCCGGCCCCCGGAGAGCGCGCCCCCTCGCCCGGGAGCGCCACCCAGGCAAGTGACAAGCGACTTCTTACTTGTTTTTTGGAGACACGGTGTCTCTCTGTGTGGCTCGGGTGTCCTGGAACTTGCTGGATAGACCAGGCTGGCCCGGAACCCCCAGAGAGCTGCCTGCCTCTGCCCCGAGTGCGGGGGTTAAAGACCAGCTTCAACAGGACGCTGGCGTAAGGGTGAGGTTTAACACGGACACTCGGACAGACGGTTAAGAATACCCCAGAACGCAGCTGTGGGCTCCCTTGAGAGATCAGCTTAAGACAAAGGCTCAGCTCGTAGCCCTGGCCAGCCTAGAACTCGGGGCCTCACTGTGTAGACCAGGCCGGCGTCGAATGCCCGGTGCCGCCTCCGCTGCCGCCCAGTGTGCACCGCCATGCCTTATTCCTTCCAAATCGTCTTTACTGTGGCCAGAACGATCCACAGTCCCCACATCAGTGTTCCAGGGTCCCCACCTTCCTCCTGCACGGCCTTGGAACCAGCGTAGTGTGCAGGGTCGGAGGGTGTGTGAGCTGTGCACAGGCTCTGGAGGGATCCCCTGTCCCAAACCAACCACAAAAGCCTTGGGCGCTTTTGAAAAAATCTGCGGTAGGTGCTGGGCACGGTGGCCCACGCCTGTGAGCCCAGCACTCAGGAGGCAGGGGCGGGCAGATCTCTGTGAGTTCAAGGCCAGCCTGGGCTATAAAGAGAGTCCAGGACAGCCAGGGCTACACAGAGAAACCCTGTCTCCAAACAAACAAATCTGAGATTGTTTAGAATGTTGTCTGTTTACTTTGTTTCCAAACAGGATCCTGCTGCGTAGCCCTGGCTGGCCTAGAACCCACTGCGTAGACCAGGCTTGCCTCAAACCCATAGGACATATAGCTGCCTCTGCCTCCCAAGTGCTGGGGTCACAGTTGCGCAGCACTGTGCCCAGTTCTCCCCTCCTCACCCTTTTTAAAACCCTTTCTTTGTTCACTGTGCATGTGGATTGTGTCGGCACGCACCTGTGTCATGGTGTGCATTGTGTAGGCACACGTGTGTCATGGTGTGGGTGTGAGGTCACAGGACAGCTCTCGGGAGTCAGTCCTCTCCCCCGCTGTGGCCTCTGGGGTTTGAGACTCAGGGAGTGAGCTGCTGTCACTGACAGGACTGTTGCCTTGGCAGGAGCCTGGCCCTCAGGATGACCCCTTTCCCGATCCCGGAGAGAATGCCAGCACAGTACCCAAGCCCCAGGAAGAGGTAAGGAGGCTTGGGGCAGCCCAGAGGAGTGCTCGCCGGGCATGCTTCCCGCCTCCGTGCCTCGCGAGCTGGGCACAGCGGCACACGCTGGGAACCATAGTTCCTGGGGGATGAGGGCAGCTGGCAGCAGCTGGCAGCAGCTGGCAGCAGCTGGCGTTTGCCCGGGCCAGCCACACAGCTCCTTTCAGTGGTGGACTGCAAGCAGCCATGCTACCTGCCCAGCAATCCGGTGGGTCTCCCCCGCCTGCGAATACTCGCTTTAGAGAGCCATGTTAACCAGAACGTGCCACAGCGCCGCCCTCAGAGGAAGCCACAGGCACTGTACAAACATAACTGAAGAGAAAGGGTTGAGTTTTTACCTCTCCTGAGTAGGTCAGCATCTAACACAACCCTGTTTCACTCCCAGGTATTTACAAGTGAAAATACAGAACTCTGAAGAAAAACTGCCAAGAAGCCTCATCTGCCCAGAGAAGTTTCTCCGGCAGAGGGGTCAGGGATCAAGCCACATCCACGTTCTCGGGCGGTGTGAACATTTAGTCTGGGAGACGGGTCACCGCTGAGGTCTGCCGCAGCCTGAGGGAGGAGGGCACCACATTTGGAGACGTTTTCCCCAAAGCCTGAGCATTAATTGCCGCAGTGATGCTAACAGAGCGCCCACAGGCGATCCACACTTCTCACGGAGAACAGGCGTCCCACTCTCCGCTCGGTGAAGCCTTAAAGCTGAAACACTTCAGATCCCCGAATAAAGTGCGCTTTGACTACGTGTGCAGCCTTGCCCACTGAGGGCTCGTGGTTTCTGCCCGGTGCAGAAGGCATCTGTCAGGCGTCCGACCCCGGGTCACCGGCTTCCGTAGAGCACGCTCTCCATCCTGGCGCATTCCTGCACCAGCTGCGTGCAGCTGCGTGTGTCACCGGCACCGTGTAGTGCTGTGTGAGCCAGAGCTGGAGCCGGAAGGAAGCAGCTGTGAGGCGCAGGAGCGTGGTGGGGGTCAGAAGTCCAAACGTGTGAACACACGATGGCCGAAGTCCAGTCACCTGTCTCCCCCTCCCGCCCTGTGACTCTCGCACACACCTTTGGTCTTTTGACACAGGGTCTCCAGGTCGGCTCTGATCCTTGATCCTTCTGCCTCCACCTCCACGTGCTAATATGACAGGTGTGTGCTGCCATGCCCAACCTACTTTTGTGTAAAAGCAGCTTTTATTCGCCTGTTTCAGTTGTCTTGGAGGCTCACTGCCTCTGTCTGCTGACCTAGGCCTGGTCCTGGAAGCTCCTAGCCTGCGACTCACTGCTTAACAGAGCTCACCCTTTCTTATTCTTGCTGAGCTCTGGGCTGGCTGGTTCAACTCAGCTGTTCTGGCTCACGCTCCTCTCCCAGCTGACCTACTCCATCTGGCTTCTCTCTTGGCCTCTTCTGCCCTGGGCCTTCAACTGTCACCGAGGCTGCACCTTCACCAATGGTCTCCCCTGGCCCCTCACAGTGCCAAGCCTCAGCTGTTCTCTGTGATCCCTTCATTCAAAACCAGTACCACCTGGGTGGCCTTCCACATTGCCAAGCCTTCCTGCCAGCATGAGGTGCAGCCGTGGCCGCCCCTGGAACTCGCTTGTCTGTGCTCTCAGGAAACGCTTCCCAGATCTCCCTCAGTGATGCCGGTCTCTTCCCAGATCTCTTTATAGATGCTCGTGAGCCACCATGTGTTTGCTGGGAATTGAACTCACTGACCTTTGGAAGAGCAGCCAGTGCTCTTAACCTCTGAGCCATCTCTCCAGCCCAGCCGGTCTCTTCCCAATCACTGCTAATATCTTAGCTCCAGCTGACCAGCATCCACTATCCAGGAATGCAAAGGTTTCACCTTAGCAGTTCTGCTATCTCATTCATCACGCTGACTCTTCAGCCCCAGCTGAACCACAGAATCTTGAATCAAGATAGCAAACGGCCCTGACAGTCTTTAACCTTGCCCCTGAAGCTTCCCAAGCCAGGCATCCATCTTCTCCACTGCCCCCCACATTCCTACCTTCCATGCCCCCACTGAGCTCTCAACACTCACTTGCTCTCCTAGCCCGAAGTCCCACAGTCCTCCCCCAGTCCTCCCCAAACACATGGCCGGCCTGTCACAGCCGTACCCCACTGTGAAGATACCAGCCTGTCCTAGTCAGGGTTTCAACTGCTGTGACTGACACCATGACTAAAAAGCAAGCTGGGGAGAAAAAAGGGTGTATTCAGCTCACACTTCCACACTGCTGCTCATTATCAAGGAAAGTCGGGACAGGAACTCAAGCAGGGCAGGAACCTGGAGCAGGAGCTGAGGCAGAGGCCGTGGAGGGGGCTGCTCACTGGCTTGCTTCCCCATGGCTTGCTCAGCTGCTTTCTTACAGAACCCAGGACACCAGCCCAGGGATGGACCACCCACCATGGGCTGACCCCACTGATCACTAACTGAGATGCCTTACGGCTGGATCTCTTGGGGGCATTTCCTCAGCTGAGGCTCCTTCCTCTCTGACGACTCTAGGCTGTGTCAGTCTCTTTAAAAATCCAAAATCTCTCTTAAAAAGTTCAAGGTTATGACCTCCTGTTAAAATCAAAATCCAATCAAATGCCTTCTTCTAGAGGGGAGAGCCAGGGCACAGCCACAGTCTGAATCAAGCAAAACTAAACCCCAGCAGTGTAGACAAGCCAGTGCCCACCGATGGGGAAGCACATGCCATCTTCTGGGTCCACCAAAGGCCCTGCTCCAGCTGCACCCTCTGCAGCACGCACCACTGGTCCACCGGCCCCGGCTGGCTCCCCTGCACCGCTGCTGCCCTTCTTGGTGGTCCCATGGTGCCAGCATCGCCGAAACTGCTGGGGTCCCTCGCTGCCAGTGGGCTGCATCTTCGCCAGTAGGCTCTCTTCGTGGTTCCGAGCCTCAGCTTCTCTGTGTGACCCCTCCGCTTTGTTCTTGGCTCTGTTGGCAGCCAGGCATTGCTAAGCAGGTACTGAGAACCTGCGTGTGCTGAGTGACAGCACCAGGCACTAGAGGAACATGGTGAGGGAGGGAGAGCTTTAGGACAGCCGGAGGAGCCGAGCGTGTTCTGTGTTGGCCGAGGTGAGCCCTGTTTGAGACTGTTGGCTGAGGTGAACCCTGTTCGAGACTGGGGTCTGGCAGCCGCCCTCTGGAGCCAAACCAGAAAAGGAGGCTCATGAACCCTCTGGCTACAGGCACGAAATGGACAAAGTGAAGCCATAGAGGGCACCTTGGCAGGTGGGTGGGTCATAGAGCTGAAGAGCATCAAGGTCAGGGAACAAAGGACTACCCTGGGGACTCCATGGAGGGGGAGACATGCTCGGCCCTGGCCTCGATGGCAGCCTACCTGGACACCATTGGCTCTCCAGATTCCTGTACGATGGGGAAAGAACCTGGCTAGTTCCTTTTGCCTGCTGTGCCCATCCTACAGCAGGGAAGTAACAGTGGTGACTGTCATCGCTAGGGCAGGAGAGACGTGACAAGCTATCTCTGATTACAGGAGGAAGAAAAGCAGGGTTAGGCCGAGGAGGCCTTGGGTGGTAATTAGGTGCCACCATCATCCTTACCACTCTGAGGATCACCTGACGGTGTGTGTGGGCAGAGGCTTTTCCATCTGTCCAGACAGATGTTCACCAGTTATGGCCTGAGCTATGCACACTCACTCTAGGGAGCCACAGTCCCCTACGTCAGGACACAAAGAACCGAGGTACACACAGGCTTTCCCGGGAGGTGTGTCCATGCAGAAGCCGAGTTCTGTGTTTGTATCTGGGAGTGAGTTTTTCCATCTCACTTTCGTGTATAGTCCCAGTCCAGCAATGGGAGGGGCTGGTGACCGAGTTATCGTTTCATCAGTCAGGAAGACAATCGCTCCCTGCCTCCAGGGCGGGTGTGGGTGGGCAGTCCTTCCCTGCCCTGTGACGAACTTGTGGTGCACAGTGGCCACCAGGATGAGGAAGCGTGTCCCCCCGTGGTGGGGAGTCCAGGGAGTCAGAACCACATGGGGCACAGTTTCCTGGACCCCAGCCTCAGGAATCACCCTTCTGAAATCAAGCCCTGCTAGTTTGTCTAAAAAGAATGTCCTTTACAGGCGCTCTGTGCTCTGTTCAGTACCTTGGGGTGGGGGTGTGCTTCCTGAGAGATTTTCGGGTAACCGCACTGCCCGCCTTTGCTAGCTCTCCCTCCTGTGGCTCTCAGTCACTGCATCCCGGTGTAACTAGGGCTCAAGGAGAAGAGGAGGCTGGGAAGAGGCTCCTCCACATTCACCGCCAGGCACAACCCTTTGGGCTGCAGATAGGTCCGCAGCCTGCTTGTCTGGCCTTCAGGAAGGCCTGGCTCTGGTGTCCACTACCACATAAACCTGCAAGACCAAGGCAGCCCTGGGAGGGGAAGGGGAGGTCACTCGAGGCCACCCTCTGCCACATGCTACACAGAAGGTTGGAGGCCACGGTGGGATACACGGGACCCCAGCACAAAGCCAGCGAACCATCCTGGGCAGCGAGACAGCTCAGCGGGTGATGCGCTTGAGACCCAGGCTTTGATCCCAGAGCCCACAGGGTGGAAAGAGAACTGACTCCCTCGAGCTGTCTCTGACCTTCTTACATGTGCATGCTCTCGCTCTCACCCTCTCTCTCACACACACATACACTAAACAAATATTAAAAAAACATCTGGAGAAACTCAGTCGAGCCTTCTGCTGACAGGGTTTTCGGAGTTGTTTTGGTTTTGTTGGTTTCTTTGTTTCTCTTCTCCCCCCCCCCCCCCAAGTGGGGGAGTGGCCAGTTGAGGACTTGCGGTCTGGTGAGAGCGAGAAGCCGTTGATGCTGCCACAGAGGCACAGCTGGGTGCGGACATGGCGCTTCATGGGCATGCCACCTGCTGAAGTCCCCGAGGAGGCAGGGGAAGGGCCCACGGGCTTTGCCAGGGCGCACAGGCTCAGCCCGGAGTTCTCCTGACACGGTCCAGGCAAAGGGCAAGGCCACAGAAGACCACCACCCAGCCGCAGCACAGAAAGCCACTGAGGCGAAGATAAATGTGGCTGGTCTCCTGTCTGCCCCGACGTCCCTAGAGGTCTGTGACAAAGGGATGGCCGCTCCAGTTTCTGGGGCTTACATTTCACCCTGGAGAACACTGGAGGGCCACATGAGGCCTCCCGCTGACGTCATCCAGGCCCACGCAGCCTTAGGCTTCTGACTATCTAAATGCCTATGGGAAATCATAATTCAGCAAGCCTCTGAAAAATACCTGTGATGAGCCACACGGAGAATCCCTGCCTCGAAATCACAAAAAGATAAAAGAAAGGACTGTGTGTGTGTGTGTGTGTGTGTGTGTGTGTGTGTGCGTGTGTGTGCGTGTGTGTGTGCAGGCACATGCGTGTCGTAACAAGCATATGGAGATTAGCAGACAACTCTGGGGTTGGTCGTGCCCTTCCACCTTGCGAGGCTTCCACTGACTGGACTCCCTCCCTTGTCAGGCTCCCAGGCAGCCCCAGCAAATCCCTCCGCGCGTGCCTGTGCGTGCCTGCGGGGCCAGCAGAGGGCGTGGGGCCCCTGGGACTGCACGGGCGGTTGTGAGCCTGCGCCTCTCCCCAGCCACCCCCGACCCGGACCCGCAGGCAAACTGTTAAGGGTTATTATTATTTTTTTAAAAAGACGCGAGTGAAAGCCCGGTGTGGGCGGGGCGCGGCGGCGCGCGCCTGGGACCCCAGCACTCGGGAGGCAGAGGCGGGCGGATCTCCGAGTTACGAGGCCAGAAACCCTGTCTCGGAAGACAGACAGACAGACAGACAGACAGACAGACAGACAGACAGACGGTGGGGGTAGCCGAGATACCCTGAGCACAGCTACGTGGCACGTGAGCCTCCACGGCCACAGCGCCGCGGTGCGCACGGCTTTGCCGCAGGCCGGGAACCGGGAGGAAGTCGTGAACTCGCACCGCGGGGCCACCCGGCGGGGTCCCCGCGCCCCCCTCGCTCGCCCAGCCCGGCCGCCCGGCTCCCCGCCCCGTGCCTCCCCCGACGGCGGCCCTTCCTCCCCGGGGATCCCGCCGAGGGCGGCCCCGCGCTCCTTCCTGCCCCGCCCCGCGGCCCCGGGGCTCGGCGCGGGGTCCCGGCCCCGCGGTGCGAGTTCACGACTTCCTCCCGGCTCCCGGCCTG